ATAGCTCATATATGCACGATACAAAGCAACTGCAGCATAAATAACACAAGCAGACTACGGCAACAAGCACACCTCAATTTAAAAAAATAGGACCGGCACACTACGGGACATCACAATCTTATTTCGGCACAGTACTGCTAAAAGGTTGCCTACCCCTGGCCTAGGGTCTCTAATAATGTTTGACTCTAGGGTATACTGGATCACTACTATAGTGATATCTAGTATCAGCTAAGAAGGCTAGATATTTCCTAAGACATCTTCATGGATGTCAATTAGGCTAAGTTCACCCTAGCTATACATGGTTCCAAGAGTAATATCTAAATACTATTTGCTAAATACAAAAGATGGAAAAGTGACCCTATGAATCCAATTAGATGTATAGTGTAAAAAATAGCAAATTATATATCCCAATGCGTTTAAACACACCCAAGTGTTAAGTCACAAAAAACACTTACATAAATGATTGGGTACAGAGAAAAAGGTGGTTTGCGCACACAATGGTATATAGTAGTTTCTAAATTTATATCTTCAAGGTACAAGTGTAAAAGACCATCATAGGGCAATATGTATGCACAGGATATAAAATAAGAGGGAACTTGGAACACTCACAATATAAAGAGCCATGTAAGTCGGCTCTAAACTATACATCCAATGTTGGTACTGGAAAAGATGCAGGTCCCCCAGAAAGTAACAATATTCCTCTGGATCATATTATAGGAACCAGGTGTAAAGTACAAAGTAGCTCTTTATTTCGATAAAACTATAGCACAATGCGTTTCGACGATTAATACATGGTCTTCCACAGGTGCAATACTGAGGTAAATATCACAAACTTATATATCATATACAATAAATACAAATAAAACACACATGTGAAACCTTAAAAACGTCCCAACCCTTTTTCTCCATATAAGGAAGTTCCGGTTCACTTTTGCCTCCTTCAATGTGGGTGAAAACTGTGATTTCTATGGGTGGGTATCTGGAAAGACCTTCTCAAATTGGCTGCACGTTGCGGCCAGTCACTTGTAGTCAGGCCCGGACTGGCCATCGGGCATACCGGGCAAATGCCCGGTGGGCCGCGATGGCCGTGGGGCCGAGGCCGGCAGGGGATCTCCCCGGCCGGCTCCTGCAGGGCCAGCACTACCCGAGCGCCGGCCCTGCTGTGTGCCTCCGTGGGCCGGTGGGGAGATCAAAGATCTCCCTTTACCGGCCCAGAGACACTTCCAGGCGGCCGCTTGCTGGGGTGTGAGGGAGGGAGGAGAGGACCGGCGGAGCTCTATCCAGCAGCTCCGCCGGGTCCTCTCGCGGGATTCTGAGCGTTGCCGCGGTTACCGCGGCAACGCTCAGATCTCGCGAGAGTGAACTCTAGCCTACAGGCTAGAGTTCACGCTCACCACTAGGACCACCAGGGATCAGGCAGCATGGCTCTCCCATGGCAGAACGGCTCCCCCCCGTCCCAGGCAAAACGGTCCCCCCCCCCTCCCAGGCTAAAGGTAAGAAGGGAGGGGGGGGAATATAATTTTTTTTTAAATTATTATTATTAATAAAAAAAATAATAATAATTTAAATTAAAAAATCACACTCACACACACACATAACCCCCAGATGCACACAGCACCCCCAGACACACACATAACCCCCAGACACACAGCACCCCCAGACACACACATCACCCCCAGACACACACAGCACCCCCAGACACATACACAGCACCCCCAGACATACACAGCACCCAGACACACACAGTACCCCAGACACACACAGTACCCCCAGACACACACATCGTACCCCCAGACACACACAGTACACCCAGACACACACATCACCCCCAGACACACACATCACCCCCAGACATACACAGCACCCCCAGACACAGCACAGCACACCCCAGACACACAGCACCCAGACACACACAGTACCCCCAGACACACACATCACCCCCAGACACACACATCACCCCCAGACACACACAGTACCCCCAGACACATACATCACCCCCAGACACACAAAGCACTCCCAGACACACACTGCACCCAGACACACACAGCACCCACAGACACACAGCACCCCCAGACACACAGCACCCAGACACACACAGCACCCCCAGACAGACAGCACCCCCAGACACACAGCACCCAGACACACACAGCACCCCCAGAAACACACAGCACCCCCAGACACACACAGCGCACTCAGGCACACCGCACCCTCACTCACACACAGCACCCTCAGACAGACAGCACCCTCGCTCACACACACATATATATATATGTGTGTGTATGTATGTGTGTATATATATATATATATATGTATTTATATATATATATATATATATATATAATATATAAAATAACCCTCAGTGAGTTAACAGACAAAGAAAATTTGAATGTGACGGCAGATAAAAACACCCTCACACACAGCACCCCTCTTACATACACACACACACTGCGCCCCTCACACATACAATACGTCCAAATATATATATGTATGTATATATATATATATACACACACACACACACACTACAGCACTACATACATTACGCTCCAGATACACGCTAGATCCCTTACCTTATATGCACTCTTAATCCTCTATACACACACACACACAATCTCCTATACACACTCTGGGTCCTTTACACACTAGATCTCCTACACACACACTGCACCACCTACACACACACTACATTCCTTGTCAGCAAACACATACAACATTCTCTAAACACACCCTCTCTACAACCCCTACACACACTACGTCACCTATACACACACACTACAGCCCGTATGCACACACTCGCTACATCCCCTATACACACTATGCCCCCTACACACACACTACAGCCCGTATGCACACACTCGCTACATCCCCTATAACACTATGCCCCCTATACACACACACTCTCTACAGCCCCCAGCCACACATATTACACCACAAACACAAATGAAATTGACCTATTTACACAATACCACACCACACTCTACACACACGCAATCCCACAAGCAGGCTCCAAACACATGCACCATACACTTTCCTGGCCCTTTTGTCCTCTGGTATCCCACTTGTTGAGGCACCAGAGACAATTTAAAAGCAAACACAGCGCAAGCATGTTATTAAATTTGCTTGCGCTGCGCAGAACAAATACAGGGCCTTTTTCTAATGCCAGAGCTCTTCAGCGCAGCTCTGCGCATTGAACCAACATGCTCACTTTGAGAGGAGGCGTGCTTGTCATTAGTGATGACAAAACACACCCTCTCTGGCCCCGCCCCCTTCTTATCGGGCCACTCTGATTGAAAAATGCCCGGGCCTAATTTTTTTCCCAGTCCGGCCCTGCTTGTAGTCAAATTACTTCCGGTATCGTCTTATGTTAGAATTTCTGGCTGGCGTCATCATAGGGTGTTGCAAGATTCAAACTTGATCGTGCTTCTTATTCAGGGAGCGTGTACCGCTCACCCTGCTAAGTCCATAGAGATCAGGCTAACAGTACTCAAAAACGCCATGATTGAGAAGGGAAAGGGATAAGGGCAAAGGGGTAAATAACACATTAGTATGAAATACGAAAGTATAGTATAGTAGAAATGAAAAGACAATTGAAAATATGATACATCTTCAATGAAATATATGTTCACTAAAATAATTTTTTGTTTTGAATTAAAAAACTTTATAAAAAACTTGAATTGTTAATATTAATACATACATAATCAATCAACTTGATAAAACCAAGATAATATAATAAAAAGATATACATGTTAACTCCTTAGGATGTAGGGTTTGTAATTCAAAAATCTAGGTACTCTTTCTTACTAAGGTAAAAGGCATCATCTCCACCGCTCCAATGGGTTAAAACTTTTTGTATGGCCATAAATTCCATTTCTTTAGGATTGGAATAATGGACCTCTAGAAAATGTTTGGACACACTATGGTTTGTCCCCAGGACATACTTGAAAACGAGAGAAATCTCAATGTATCTTTCCTGGTAAAATATTTTATAAATAAATAAATTTCTAATATGTTCATTTATACATATTTTTAGGGATCTTTACCACTTTCCTACCTATTGTAGCCCCCATTGGCATTTTAAGAGAAAGGTCACATTTTTGGATTCACATGAAATAAAAGAAGACACAGTAAAATCCTTTTTGGTAATAAAAAATGTGAACTTTTCATTGTAATAGTGGTACTTTTGCAGTTACCACAATGGAAGAAACCTTTCTGGGTTTTTTTTTACCAGTCTTCTAAAAATGTATGTTCCCTATCTTTGTCCACATAACTAGAAGTTAAAATTTGTTTCAAATTTCTAGCGCCTTTAAAAAAAATTTTGGCTTTTTGCCCAAAAACTAGTGAATATCATGTTCTTGCTGGAGGATATGTCCACTTTTGTTTATAATTTTCATTTTAAGATACCTATATTACTTGAATAATTAAAAATGAAGGGAATTTGCTTAGATGGTATTGTCTGGTTTCTTTCTTTATATTTGAATTAGGATCTATTAAGTTTGTTAACATTAAATCACATGGAGTGTGACTCCCAATCCAGACCTCCATGTGTTGAAAAATTTGATTTCCATTTTTAAATTTTTGTGTGATTTTGTTGTCAGCACATTCAACTATGTAAAGAACAAAGTATTTCAGAAGAATATTTAATTCATTCAGATCTAGGATGTGTTATTTTTGTGTTCCCTTTATTTTTTTGAGCAGTGTATATAGCGCTGCACTTTTACTTCTGTGTTTAGGTGTTGGGGCATATCACCTAAACAATTAGTTTGCTTTTTTTTTTTTTTATTACAATTGTTGGTCACTTTTTTGTTCTTCAAGAAAAACCGTATCACTAAAAAAAATTTTTTTTATTGATCCTTCCTTCTAAGAAAAAAGCAGACAGTTGCGTAAAGTGCTTTGTGTGTTGTTTTTTTAAAATCCCCTCCTTTTCCAGGTTTAACCCCTTAATGACGAGTGACGGACAAGGTCCGTCACTCAGGGGATTGCCATAACGACGAGTGACGGACCTTGTCCGTCACCCGTTAAAATAAAACCCGGATTGCCGCTATTGCGGCGATCGCAGGATTAATGGCGCTCCAGTCTGCCTCTGTATTAGAGGCAAACCGGGAGCACCCGATCAGGCTGCCCCAGCACCGATGCTCGCTCTGACAGCCTGTCAGAGCGAGCACATGTGCTGCATATACTCACCTTCCGCCTCCCTGCACTTCCTGGTTCTGTGTGAAGTGCAGGGAGCTGGAACAGTGATGATCCTGCCCCCTGTGTAAAAAAAATAAAGTTAATTTAAAATCCCACCCCCCTTTACCCATTTTAATAAAAATTAACCCCTTCCCTGCCAATTGATCACTGACAACAGTGATCAATTGGCAGAGATTACATTTTACTGTCATCTGATTTTTTTTTAACCCCTGAGGGTTAATTCTTTTTTTTTTTACCCTCAGGGGTTAAATTTACTTAATTAATTTAAATATTTTAAAATTATATATTTGGCTAGCTGGGGTGGGTGGGTGGAAGTTAGTGGGGAATTGGGGGATTTGGTGTTAGGCTAACTAGGGGTTAACGTTTAAAAAAGTTTTAAAATAAACTTTAAAAAGTTAAAAATTAAGCTAAAAGAAATTTAAGTAAAAAATAAAAAAAAACACCCCCCTTTACCCAGTGCAAATAAAAATTAACCCCTTCCCTGCCAGTTGATCACTGCCTACAGTGATCAAAATACAGATCACAGTATTATACTGTGATCTAATTTTTTTTAACCCCTGAGGATTAACTTTTATTTATTTTTAACCCTCAGGGGTTCAATTTATTTAATTAAAATATTTTATAATTATATATTTTGCTAGCTGGAGTGGGTGGGTGGGAGTTATGGGAAAATGGGGAATTTACTGTTAGTGCTGCTTACTGCTAGTTAGGGTTAATGGTAAAAAAAAAAAAAAGCTTAGAAAAATATTAAATCTGTAAAAAACTTTTAAGAAAGTTTAGGAAAGTTTAAAAAAAAGTAATAAGGAAAACAAAAGTTTAAAAACTTGTTTTTAAGAGTAAAAAAAAGTTTCAAAAGGTAAAAAAATACATTTAAAAACGCTCATTACCACTACACCTGGAACAAACTAGAGAAAAAATGATCCCACTGTAGCAGAGACCTGGTATTCCACAAGTTATCTCCGCTTAAGATCCCAGTGAGGCTCAGCAAGGTTTCCAGCAGGCAAAATAATCCAACAATATCCCAACAGCAATCCCAATGACTGGACGACACACAGCATCAGGAGCAGAACTAAACTTTTATTCACACAGTGGCCTTATAAAGCATTCTCCCATGCAAGGGAGGGATTTACAGTCATTAGTACAGTGTCCAATCATACCTGAGTAACCTCCCACACATTTCCTCCCCTTAGCCTGACTCATAATCCCCTTATACAGCACACAAATTCCCCAAGTTTCTGGATGTACCCCTAAACCTAGGGGTACCCCTTTTTGTTACATCCCTGGTAACCCTGACATGGGTGAGAGACATATCCAAAAATCACCCAGATCGAACCAGGGGTTTGGGAAATCTATGGAGGTAATAAAAAGACCGACCGCGCTGGAGGGAACAGACGAAATTGGTTCCATGAGATGGGGCCCTGTGGTCGGTCACAAAAGAAGGGAATAAATGGCACGAAAGGCTTGGGCTATAGAGACTAGGGAGGGTTCGCGTGAATCCCCTTGTTTGGTTGTTACTTTCTACCGAACGGGTGGCCGTTTGGTAGTTTGGATACGAACTTAAGGGCAGTGTGGAGGTCTCAGCGGTGTTTGCCTAGCCGAGTGTCCGATTTGGGTTCCAGACACTCGACGGCAAAACACCACTGTTCGGGAGTTTTAAAATGGCCGCCGCCACGTGTTCGTCTCCCGAATGGCGGCCACCCCGCGAACAAAGGACCCACTGCACAGATTGCCAATTACCCGTTCGCAACATTGTTGCAACCGGTAATTGGAGGCACGCTTCCCACTGGGGTGGTCTGATTGTTCGGTAGTTTCATTCGCATAATGCTTAGAGTGATTCTACCGAACAATCAGAGGGGTGTCTACTTTAAGAAATAGTAGGCATTTGTGGGGTAGTTTGAATTTAAACCCTGCTAAGATGCTTGGAAATTGCACATGGGCCCAGCATCAAAATTCAAAGTTAGGTAAAAACTGATATGGCTTGGTCTCCTATATGGCACTGTAGCTTCACAAAATAGTGCCAAAGACATTCATTGGGGGTGTCTTTTTACTCAGAAGACTTAGCCAAGCATAATTTGGGGGGTTTGAACTTAGTGGCACATGTGAAATATACAAAATGCCCAGCAAAAATGCAATCCATATGTAAAAAACGCACAAAATTATTTTTTAGCACATACTTTGGCATATATTGGTGAAAAAATGGGGGCATGTTAAGGCACAATATGCACCTTATGAGATACCCTGGAGTGTCTACTTTTACAAATGGTAGGCCTTTGTGGGCTTTTTTGAACAGTCAAACTGTTATAATACCCCAAATGGAAGCATAGGTTCATTAAATCCGTCTCTCAAAATTCTACTGTGAATACTGAAAAGAACAGGCCTCCTATATGGCACTGTAACTTCACAAAATAGTGCCAAAGACATACAATGGGGGTGTCATTTTACTCAGCAGAAGTAACTGAACACAAAATAAAACTTTGTACAGTAATAGCACACACCAACTTTACAAAATACACATAAGAAGTTCTTTGTTATAAATTTGTGTGCCAAAAACCAAAAAAAACCCCACAATTTTACTCCAATATTTAGCAGAGATTGGCGGTGAAATGGCTATGTAGAGAGTGTCAAAACAACCATAGGTAAATAGCCTGTGATGTCTACTTTATATAAATATATACTTTTGTGTGGCAATTTTGTTTTCTTTTATGGCTATTAAGCTTACAAGACAAACATACCAAATTCTAAAATCGCTCCACATTAAAAGTTTATTTTACTCCTTGTGCTTTGTGACCTGTAACTACCAAAAAAACTTAAAATCCCAGACACATTATATATTCTGTAAATCAGAACAACTAAATTAATTTTTAATTACTTTCCTTAACCTGCACTAATTATGCACACATTACTACTGCAAAAACTGTACAAAAAACACATTTTTTTTTTGCATTTTTCTGTATTTTTTTTATAATAAATAAGAATTTATATATATATGTGTTACATCAAATTAAAGCCCTTTCTGTCCTTTAAAAAACGGTATATAATGTGTGTCGGTGCAATAAATTAGTAAAATGCAAATTGCAGTTGAACGCAAACAGCAAAAAATGAAAATAAATGCTGTTAAGTGAAAGACAAGCTTCTGAAGCTCTGTCCCTAAAGGGTTAATTGCAGTGTTGACACATTGAGTAAAACAAGTTGGTTTCTGTTGCAGTTTTAGCCCTTGCGATCAAAAAAGCTCCTCCATCACTGCCCTGGTCTTCTGTTTACAAAACTGACTTAGGTGTATCACGTGACCACTCCTGTCACATGACCTGCTGCTGATGAAGCGGGTGCTGCGCGATATTTTTTTTGTATTTGTTGCCAGATGAGAAGTCGACGTTGATTGGCGGAGCGATTCTGTCGTCATCGTGCTGCGCCGGGTTGTTTGACAGTTACCAGTAGAGAATGGAAACATGGCGCACTGGACCCGCTTCGAAAGGGAGCAAGAGGCAGATATCAAGCGGCTGATCTCCTGTCTGAGCGGGCTGCATGACGAGCAGGACAACAACTTTCAGCTGGCCCTGCAGTTTGCATGGTCTAACTTCAGGTGTAATCATTTAGCAGAACACATATCACTCTAATAGTAACCCTCTCCATATATTTATCTGAGTGTATCCCCACTGTAAGCCTGGCTAGCGGCAATGCGGCTGGAGATTGATGCTCTTTAGCAGTAACTGGCGGTCAGTGCAACACTGTGATGCTCCAGTTGTGTTCTGAGTTCCAAGGGATGCTCTAGAATAGAAGTAGAATGCAGACACAACAGCCAGTGTGTCAAAATGTAATCATCACTGATTTCTCAGAATTAAATCACACATTTATGCTCTGCACACATTCATTGTTAAAATCCTCACGCCGTTGGTCATTCACGTAGAACCTATAACTCAGTGTTTAGGTGATATGCTTTGTTTTCCTACATCTACATGGCTGCTTTATTTTGGCTTGTGTTTATGACCACTATGGGATCTCTCTGTATTTCAGAATCATTGTAGTGACGAGTGTAGAAGTTTAATATAGCATAATATACATCACTAGTATTACATTTGGGGAATGAGTGATGATATCTAAAGAAAAGCACAAAAAGTACATCTTGACTTAAAATAATTCTGTTCTCTTTTTTTTTTTTCTATTGCCTACATGGTTTTGTTTGATATTTTTTCTCCATATGGCTTTGATTTAATATTGTTGGATACGTTTTTCAGAGGATTTAATATTTTTGGATAAACATTTGAAATGTTTAAATATTTTATGAAACTATTTTAGTTTTGTAATATTTTGAAATGTTTTTATATATTGATATATTTTTAATATTCTGATATTTTGAAAAGGTTATCCAAAAATATGAAATCATTTGAATAGCTTAACCAACATTATTAAATTGTGGCCTATATTAGGCGCTGTTATCTACGATACTCTGTTAATTTCAACGTTAACTTATATATTTGTGTTTTACAGATTTCATCAATATCTTGATGTTAATAGCCACAATGTTGACAGGACTTTGGAAGGGTAATGTTTTATATTGTATTAAATTTGGTTATTTTTACAACAGTCAGTTATAAGATTCTATTCGCTATCGTATATACTTAGAATTGTCTGGAATTCAATGTGCATTTGAAGTGAATGTCAAATTTAAGGCCAAATGGCTGAATTTTAAACTTTATCCAAGTTATTCTTTTTGCTACTTTGATCTAAAATTTCAAATTCACTTTGCATTCCTGATAGTCTTCACTTTTGTGAATAACGCTGCATGTGTTGTGTTTTTATTTACATGTAGTATATATGAGAAACTAGTAATTCATTCGGACTTGAGTAAAGCAGAAAGCTGGAAGAGACTGACAGAAGAATTCCTAAACCTGCCTCTGCCAAACACTGAGGGATCCAAGGTATATATAGCCCTATAATGTCTACCCCAGCTGTGAATTTTAGATGAATAGAGCAAATGCTAATTCAGATATACCTGAAATTGCTTTATGCAAACAGTCTATATTTTATGCTTGGGTTATCATAAACATATGCAGCTCATTTTAAGATATATTTATTCTTAGATTTCAATCTGGTTTCCAACCAAATGTATAAATACTTTTCACACAGTATACATTCCAGTGCACTTTGTGTGCCAAACTCCTTGAAGCAGAAAAATCGACTAAAACCTAGGAGATTATATGCCATGTACACCATTTGTGGATGGATTTGTGGCAACTATATCAACAGCTCTCATCCACTTCTAGCAGGCATCTTGATGGAAATGTACTCAAAATGTATTTTATAATGTATCTGTGTGTTGCCAGAAATTTGCCCAAACAATAGAATTTCATTATATGTAAGCAGTGTGTAGCTTTTTTTGTGCTCTGGGTGAAGTGATCCTGTTTTAGTCCTGCAATGTAAAACCATGCTGTTTTGTAGTTGTGGCAATGTTTACATTGCAGAGCTAAACATACCTCTACCATATAATTATATGACATGATATAAATAATGGTATGTAAACATTGCCACATCTACAAAACAGCACTGTTTACATTGCGGAGCTAAACATACCTCTATTATTTCCCTGTGGGAAGCATTTGATGTGATGAGTGTGGCTTTCCCCTAATGCTTCTCTAACCACTGGGTTAGACGATAAGAGGAGACAGGGTGAATGGTTGGCTGCACAGAGTGAGTCTCAGCTTTGGAAAAAGAGTACGTAAAATTACTTCAGAATAAAATATATATTAGATTTAAGGGGGACCTGAAACTAAATAGTGAGTACCACACTGTAGTGTTAGAAATACATGTCTATTCGTAACACAATAGGGTTCCTTTAAAAATAAAAAAATAAAAAAAATTCACATACAGGGAGGACCTATATATAACTAGGGACAGGGACACTAAAGCGTTGGGAATACAAATAAATACTTTATTGTTCCTTTAAATGCAAGTAGATGTAAGTGACCTTTTTTTTTTTTTTTTTGACCGGGGGTGGGGAGGGGACAGGACTAAATCTAACTTAGATTTTCAGCTTTCTCATACTGAAGGGTTACTTTAAATGTTTCACATGAGATGCTTTATTATGGACTTTTAAATCGTGCCTTCAGAATTACAGTCTGTGAAAATGAAAGGCAATTCCTGCATAATCTGGGTGGATCAAAGAAAACCTATTGTTATGATTTAGCTGTTTCTGTACATTAGACAAGTACGAACAGACATCTGGGTAATCTAGAAGCTCCAAGGGATGTTCATCCTTTTTATTCCTACGAAGGACAAAGTTCTCCTTTCTGTAAACACATATTAGCGTTATGTTATCCACCACAAGTGATCTGGCCACATTTCAAAATGTTGTATGTCACTTGTGATGTTTGAAACAAAGGTTGTTGAAATTTACAGAATAGAAGTTTTTCTGCTTTGGAGAAATTGAGGTGGAGATCTCTTACAAATACCTCCCGGTAGTGCATTGCTGAACAACTACATGAACATCCTTTATCCTGTGGTTATTATTATTATTGCCATTTATATAGCGCCAACAGATTCAGTAGCACTTTACAATATTATGAGAGTGGGATTAAACTATAAATAGGACAATTACAAGAAAACTTACAGGAACGATAGGTTGAAGAGGACCGTGCTCAAACGAGCTTATTGTCTGTATGAAGTGGGGTATAAAACGCATTAGGACAGGAAATGGCAATCAAATAAGGTGGGAGTGTTGCAGAGTTGGAGGAGAGAGTAGAGTGCTGCCCTTTAGGAGAGAGGAATAGAAATGTTTTCCAATAATATACAGTAGGCTGAAGTTGAATTCTGAAAATGTTGCATGTTGCCTAGGAGATCTTGGGTATACATGGATATATGAACCAAATAAAAAATACATTTAAAGAGGGTGCATACGAATACTGATAGAGAAAGATTTGTTAGAAGGGGTTACACATTTAGAATACTTGTTTTTTTGTTTGTTTTTTTAGACTGGTGCACATTATGCTATTTTGGCCCTCCTACTCACTTTGTCTGATTCACCTTCTAACAATGACTATGTTGAAAAGGAAAGGAAAAAACAAACAGGTAATCAGTAGAGCATACATGGTTGTGTTTGAACTATATATATATATAACGTTTACCAATATTTCACTATCTAGATGCCATGATGATAAGATACCATTCACCACACCCGTCTCACGTAAACCGTTTTTAAAATATGTATGTTTTGCACTTCACCCTGGTATTTATTATTATTGTGTTTTGTTTTCAAATGCATTCATCCACTGGTAAATATGTTTACCCAGCATTCACTCTCTTCTACACACACACACACACTCACTCACTCACTCACTCACTCACTCACTCTCTCTCTCTCTCCAGCTTGTGATTGGGAGAGGGCCAACTCTCGAACTTCTGGCACTGACTACTTTGTTTAGCACAAAGAGTGGAAAACCTTATTGTTATTTAAATATATATTTTTAAATAATATAATTCAAGTTGATGGAAAACTTTGACCATATCTCTGAATTGGCATACGCATTGCAGTTAGGAATACATCCCAGGTATTTGCAGACTACACTTCTGATGATGCTTAGCCAGCTAAAATGTTTGAGGATAACAAGAATGTAATTCACAAACAAATGGAATGCAATGGGTAGCTTATACAGTACTGATAGATGTGTGTAACTTTTTTTTTTTTATAGATATTAACTGTTAACCATTTGTATTTTAGAAGAAAAGGAGCCATTTGACTGGGGAAAATATCTAAGGGAAGGTGAAGATTTTGGACTAAGTCCTGATGCAGACACCCCAGTATGTATTGTTTATATAACCTAAACACCTGATTGTCTTGGAGACATGGAATATACCTTGTAAAAATACAGTTAGGCCTGGAAAAATTTGGACACTGATACAATTTTCCTAATTTTGGTTCTGTACGCTACCACAATGGATTTAAAACAAAACAAGCAAGATGAAATTGAAGTGCAGACTTTTAGCTTTAAATCAAGGGATTAAACAAAAATATTGTATGAAATGTATTTCTGGGACTCAAATGTAACTAGACAAATTAAAAATCATAAATAAAATTGTAAATTTTTAATACTTTGTCAAGAATCCTTCGCAGACTTCTTGAAGTCTGGAAACTTCTGGAAAATCACCAGATGCTAGGTTTCCTCCCCTGTGATGGTTTGCCCATGATGCCTTTATTGCAGCTGTCTTTAGTTCTTGGTTGTTTGTGGGTCTTTCTGCTTTAAAGGGACACTATTGGCACCCAGACCACTTCAGCTGATTCAAGTGGTCTGGATGCACTGTCCCAGGTCCCTTAACCCTGCAAAGGTAATTACTGCAGTTTTTAAGAAACTGCAATAATTACCTTTCAGGGTTAACTCCACCTCTGTCTACCAGACAGCCAGTAGAGGGACTTCCAGGATGTTAGGCGACTTTTGCATGTTGGGTTATGCATGGTGACGTCAACATCATCCAAAACCCGATAGGAAAGCATGGTATAATTCTCTGCTATGGGGAATTCCTACTGCAAGCGCGACAATGGCCGCGCATGCACATTAAGTCTCCCATGCCGGCTTACGTCGGGATGGGGGAGGAACGAAGGCGAACCTGAGCCAATGCCAAGGGACATCAGCGCTGGACACAGGTAAGCGGCAAGTGTTTTTTTTTTTTTTGTTTTTTTTTTGTTTTGTTTTTTTTAAACTCCTTCTGCTCCACAGGGAAGGGATAGCTATAGGTCCAGGAAAACAAGTTTGTTTTTCAGGCACTGTAGTTCCCTTTAAGTTACGTCTTCAGCAAGTGAAATGCATGCTCGATCGGGTTAAGATCAGAAGATTGACTAGGCCATTGCAGAATATTCCACTTCTTTGCCTTAAACGCCTGGGTTACTTTCACAGTATGTTTGTCATTGTCCAGTCTACTTCACTGAATGTGGCTGAATCTGAGCAGACAAGATATACACCAGAATTCATCTGGCTGTTTCTGTCTTCTGTTACATCATCAATAAACACTAGTGACCCAGTGCCATTGGGATCCATTCATGCCCCTGCCATCACACTCTCTCCACCATGTTTTTCAGATTAAGTGGCATACTTTTTTGTTTCTTACCATTATTCTGGAACAGGTTAATTAATTTGCCCAAAGAATGCTGTTCCAGAACTGGGCTGGCTTTTTTAGATGTTTTTGGCAAAGTCTGATCTGACCTCTGTATTCTTAAGGCTTATAAATGATATGTACCTTGTGGTGAACTATTTGTATTTGCTCTTTTGAAGTCTTCTCATTATGGCATACTTGGATAATGATGTGCCTACTAAATGGAGGGTGTGCTTCACTTGGCTCGATGTTGTTAACAGGATTTTGTTTACCATGGAAAGGATCCTACGATCATCCACCACTGTCGTTTTCTGTGGACATCCAGGACTTTTTGTGTTGCAGAGCTTTCTTCTTTTTTTCACCTCAGAATGTATCAAACTGTTGATTTGGCCGCTCCTAATGTTTTTGCTATTGCTGTGGTGTTTAATTCTTTTTTTGCAGCCTAATAATGGTCTGTTTCACTTGCATTGAGATCACCTTTGACCGCATCTTGTGGATTCACAGCAACCACTTCCAAATGCGAATGCAACACATGGAATCAACTCCAGACCTGTTACCGGCTTAATTGATGAAAAAACAAAGGAATAGCCCACGCCTGTCCATCAAACCGTTTTTGAGTCAATTGTACAATTACTTTTGGTCCCTTGAAAAAGAAGGGGTTACATATTAAAGTGATGTAATTCCTAAACTCTTCCTCCAATTTGGATGTGAATACCCTCAAATTAAAGCTGAGAGACTGGCCATATCCATTATTTAACTGTAACTTGTATTTATTTTGGTAAACAGCAGAAATAACAAAACTTGTGTCATTGTTCAAATATTTCCAGACCTAACCGAATATGGCTGCTATGCAGATAACCTTACAAAGATATGAATCCATTTTCTTTATTTTAAATATTTCCTTACCCTTTAATTCAGTATTGTCATTTTGTGTTTAATATGATAACTTGTTTGGAGCACTGGGAGTATTAGAATTGGGGTATATATTGTACTTTATTATTTATTTTACAAATTTAAATATCAAAATCTATTGTAAGCTTCACTTTGTTTCCATCTCTTTGTCTTTGCTCAGACATTTCTCCCACATTTTGTTTTGCCTTCTTATTCATTGTGCCTATTCATTTTCACATGTGACCCACATCTGTATCTTAGAATGCCAGTCCACTCGTCTCTCAAAAATGTAAACCAGTGTATAGGATATGACTGTAAGCTCATTGTACACCTTGATATTTTTACAATTAAATAATTTATTTTGTTCTTGAGATTGAGCATGATGAAATGAGAATGGGCTGATTATTTACATGCTGTTCATTGTCTCGTTACTGAGACATCATGAATGGACTCTCCATATTGGTGCAAGTATTGGTAAGCATTTTTTTTTTTTTTAATTCTTTATTTTGGCGGTGCATAGCAAGCATATGATTCGTACAGTACAGGTGTATCTGACCTAAGCATTTTTTTGAAATACAATAACTGGATATAACAATTTGAGCACATCTGAGAGGAGTTGTGGGTGTTAGGTGTTTCAAGAGGGTAAGCCTTCAGGTGTTCCTGTGTGGTGGGTAGGAGATATGTTCGAGCTTCTGTGTTGAGGGCAGTAATGGCATATTGTGTGTATTCCTGTGGTGAGATGTGTGAGTTCTCCTGGTGTGTGGGGTGTCTTTTGCCTAGTGGCTGAGATATTGGATTGCGTGGGTGAGATTCACTAGGCGCGCTACCATATTGCCTAAGGGGAGATGTGCGTCCTCCTCGCTATGTGATACCCCTGACCAAGGGGGTAGCGGAGTGGGGAGGGGTGGTGATGTGTCAGTATGTGTCAAGACTCATGTCTCTGCGGATTCTAACGCTCTTGTAGGGCAGTAACTTGAACGTGTGTAGGAGAGATAAAAGAAAAAAACAACCAAATATACAAATGTAAGATATAACAGCTCTCAGTGAGTTTGCCCCAGGGACTTCTGCTCAAGTGCCATGGCCGCGTGTATTGGCTCAGTCCCCAAGTGTTGTCAGGTGTCAGCTGCCTGTGAGCCTCCGGCTCTCGGGACGAAGGGGGTGCTACAGGCAGGGTACCAAGTGTCCATGGGGGTGGTCGACTGTGGGTCCTGTTGGCGTTCTGCTAGTCCCAGTGCTTGTAGGAAGGCCAGTGCCCCCTCGATCGACATGAGTGTATTATTAGTTCCGTTGTGGTGTACCACAAGAGTTCCTGGTGGTCCCCAGTGGTAGGGTATGGCTGTAGATCTTAATTGAGAGGTGACTGGCTCCAGTTATATCCGCCAGACCAGAGTGTTTTTTGTGAGGTCTTGATACAATGTTAGTGAATTGCCTTATTCCTCAGTGCCATCTGGTTTTTGTCTTGTGATGTTAAGCAGCGAAGAATGACGTCTTGTGCTCCTCCAATTGGTGTTTTACGTGCACTCGTAATGCGATACACTCCGTCCATGATCATTTTTTTTTGGGCAGTTGTGTGGGGTAGTATGGATGCAAGTAATCTGCACGTATAATGGTGGGAGTTCGTCCGCTGTCACAGCAGCAGGGATGCCACGTATTTTAATGTGGTTCCTGTGTTGTCTGTCTTCCAGGGCTGAGATTTTGGGAGCGACATTCCATTGGGTAGGCTTTGTTCCCAGCAGGGGTTGTGTGATGTTGCCGCGTAGGAGTGCCTCCAGTCTCAGGCTCAGGGGTGTGCAGTAGGCTGCAGATTTGCGCTGCGGTTTGGAGTGTTTCGGCGTGAGGAAGAAAGGCATCTATCGATGCGTTGTGGCTCGGGGGGGACCAGCTGGAACGGTAAGGAGGTCAGATGGGTTATAGTTTTCGTGATATTTGGTTAGATTTAGTCAAGTGTTTGAGAGCTCTTAGAGATGGCGTCCGCTCATCAGGCTTTCAGGCTTCGCCCCCAATTTTAAGCTTTTTGCTTGCTATGCATTTACGTTTGTTTCTACTCCCTCAATAACAAATCAAGGCTTGTTTTAAAAAAAATAAAAAAAAAATATTATTTTATTCTTTTGTAACAAAGTTAAATGTCCTATATTTTGTGGAATACAATAGGGCTAATAAGAATAAAGCTGTGGCTTGTATGAACCTTTAGGAATGGTTGAGTGAGGAAGAAGATGACCAGGATCCCCTCAGCAGGGAAGATTCGGGAATACAGGTTGATAGGACACCTCTAGAGGACCAAGAAAAGAAATCCGCTGCTCCTATAGTATCATGGAAAGGTATATGAGATTAAAGGTGAAAAGTATGATGGTTTTTTTTTTTTAAATTTGTTTTTTTATCTCAATATTTCTTTAAGTTTTTTAACAAATACAATTTATAGCAATTTACATTTAAATATTCAGTCACTCAACCACAAATACATAATGATTCACATTACATATAAATGCACTACATTCATATCTGGGGGGTTCCAAGGATAAAACTTTTACAAATTCTGAATATCAAGTATCTTTTAACTTCAAGTTCAGGGTAGATCTTACATAGTTGACAATTTGTTTAGCCAATTTTCATACGTAACTTTTTTTATTTGAGAAATATTATTTATCGTAAGCAATTTTTCCATATTCAATTGTGTTTTAATTTGAAAGAGTATATGTTGTTTTTGAAAGGGTAAGGACGATCTCCAATTTCTGGCTATTATAATTTTCATAGCTATGAAACAATGAACAGCAATACAGATATCATTTCGTGATTTTTAAATTTCAGTTTACATGTAATAATGCAACTGTAGGTGAAAATATTAGTTTTATACCTGTCAGATCATAATAGAGTTTAAAGACCCAAGACCAAATTTCATTAACACATGGGCAAAACCACCATATGTGAATATATGAACCCAAACTACTACCACATCTCCAACACGTAGGGTCGCAATTCTAATACATTTTAGCTAATTTATTTGGTGTTAAATACCATTTGTTTATAACTTTAAAATGGCACTCTATCAAATTCAAGCAATGGGGGGGCGGGGCTGGGCCGCCAAGCAGCATGGCAGCAGAACACCGTGGCTCCGAGCTTAAGCCCTAAACAACGGCATAAAACTTGCTCAAAACTTGCCCCAGGGCCGGATTACATGCTGGATTACAATGGGGTACTACCCAAGCATCCATATGATACCAGACTACGGCCAAATATTCACGGGGAACACGGAGACTGATGAACCCGGCCTACACACCTGCATAAGCCTGCATGAGGACAGCTGCAGATAGAGAACAGACGCCTGATTGCAAGGCCCGAGGTACAAGCACACCAGCTATGCGGACACTGGGGGAGATTTACACGGGTGAGAGCTGCGGCCCTGCCCCCCCTCCGCCCCCCGGCCGGAGGGGGTAATCCCGGCTACATGGGATTACCGGGGTGCTCGCTGACCTCCTGCACAGGCACTGGCTGCCAAACTGCGGCCCGCCAGATATCTACACTCGAAATCCAGGGACGATTATTGCCTAAGCTACAGGATTAACGCACACCCTGAACTTAACGGCCTACAACAGCCCTGCCTTGCCATCAGAAGCTGTCCTGTGGATACAACACCCGCGGATGAAGTGGGGCCCCGGAGGCGATGCACGTGGGCGGGGGAGCCAGGCCGGATGCTGCTGCGGTGTCCTTGGGGCCCACTGGCCGGATGCCGCGACCCTTGGACTGTGCCCTGCGGAGACTGAAGTGCCGTCACCTGTGGGTTTGAGGAGGACCTGCAGGCAACTGTCCCCGACGCTGTGAGCCCTCGTGGAGTGGAACGCGGCGGCCCCCGGCGGACCGGTGGCTGTGGGGAGGCTGGCGCCCGCCCCGAGTGGCCGGAGAAGGGTGAGACACAGGACGGCCTTCACCCTGACCATCTGGGGCCCAGTGGGGGTGCAGGGGATTACTGACTGGCACACGGACTTTAGGTGGTGGGTCGTGTGGACTGGTGAGTCCCCGAGTGCCCGCTGTGCTGCGGATCTCCCGGATGGAGGCTTGGCGCGGCCTGAGGGGACGCCGCGGAGGCCTGACGCCCCTGGGATCAGCCGCAAATGCATCTGCAGTCGGTTCCCCCCGCTCGGAGGGGTCGTATCCGTGGCCCCTCAATGCCTGTGGACTGAGTTGATACACGCTGTTACTGACAGGCAGCAGTAAATGGTTTATTTTTTTTTATTTTTTATTTTTCCCGTTTATTCACCATATAAAGCCGTACATTATGCAGCATCATGTCTTATCTACGTTATGCTCCTGTCTTATGCTTGATGATCCTTGAGGACTGAAAAGCATCAGTAATATGTTCATGCTATAATGCTGCCTGCTTAATATATTTTTCTAGTCTTGCATACACTGCCCATGCAGCAGTGCCAATATGAGCTTCAGTTTAAGGTCACAAATTCTTAGATAATCTTATATTAGTAGCACACGCAGACAAAACATACGTTAAGGATACCCGTATGTCTGCGCAGTAGCTGATACAAAAAATTTGTGCTTTTACAAAGAGCATATTGGGTTAGGGTTGGGGTTTATTTATTTTTTTAAAATTTTTTTTTGAACAACCTGCTTACAGTTTAACCGTTCATTGCTTATTTTCTAGATGTGTTTGTAACCACGCACGTACAGATTTTGTGGGTCCAATCTTAGGGACATCGATTACCTCTTACCTGAGGGCACGAATTAAAGACTTACAACATACTACCCTGTTAAACGTGGGGAGAGGAAGTTATACAGCAACCAATTAAGCCCCTAATCCCCCATTATCTAATCAATGAATGTCATGTTAACATCTCAGAGTGAAATACTAACCCTTTCTATGATTTCCTAATGATGAGCCCTTGTGTTATACCATAGTTTAATCTCCCCCTGCCAGCATATGGGGACTCACTAATGGGTTGCTGCGTATTGTTTAATCAAATAAAGTTGAGAATAGGCATAAAACATTATTTAACTGGACCAGTTATAATTCAGCGTAGACAACAGTGCAAATACCTCGGTTCAGATTTAGCTAAACATTGTACTGCAAACATAAGCTGACTGAAAAATAAGATGCAGAGAATGATCTCTTCTTGCTAATGTTGGAACGGATATGCAATATGACATTTGCTTAACCTTAGTTATTTTACTTGTGTTCACATAATTTAACCTTTCTGCCTTACTAGGCTTTGACTGCTCTCATTCGATATAAAATGCACTCTGTGGCATATGCCTATGTCGAAAAGCTTATTATGATACATTTGTCTCCCCTGCGTGGGATGACTGCTTTTCCTATGCACCAATAAACTTATTCAAACAAATTCAAGCAATGTATATTTTTAGTATGTGACAAAGAGGAACACCATTCTTCCAGTGTTAATTCAAGTTCTTACGCCCAGTAATTTTATTGTTTTCATTGGGTTATCATTAAGTAAGTCTAGAAGGAGATTTGCTTTAGGAATTACTTTAATAACATAAATATTGCCAGATATATTTTCCATAAGACCTGCTGACTGAAATGAAGATTTTAAAATATTGATATCTAGGAAATTTTTTATTCTTAATTAAGTAAAAATTTCCCTATTTGGGACTTGAAACTTTTTCACCATTTCTTGAAATAGAATCATCTTTCATTATTTGTGAAATTGAAATTGTATCTTTATTTGGCCAATTCTTTTTTTTTTTTTATATAAATTCTTTATTTTATTTGTGCATGGATTGACATTGAGCATGCAGAGCCACGACAGCTGCTGCAAGCAGTTGCATAGCATTACATAGCGTGGCAGATTAAACAGCACAGTTTTTTCTTTTTTCATCATGAAATTAACCAGCTATAAGACCTTTGTGGTTTGTGATAAACATGTTGGTCTAAGTGTGTACGTAGTAAAGTTGTTCTCGCTTGGTGTTACATTAAGGTATGTTGCTTTGCTTTGCGTGTAAGGGAAGATGTTTATAACTAGGGCAGCATTGCAAGTAGACAGATTCTCGCTTGGTTGACTACATATATTTTCGTATGACGTGCTGCAGTGTGGTTGTGATGTGTTGCCTGTAGGGTAGCAATACCTATGCGAGTGTGTGCTTATGAGAGCCATAGGGTTATTACGCAAAACAAAGTTTACATGCTTAGACAATATATTGCTGGTTCAGGCTTGACATTAGAACTTCACATCCGCTGGTACAGTGTTAAGGCGGTTTGCTAACTATGTGATGAACATTTAAGCTACCATAACATGAGTGTGTGTGTATGTATGTATGTGTGTGTATATATATATATATATATATATATATATATATATATATTAGTTAACAGAATGAGAAACTCCTGTTTTACACAAATGCAATGTAGAAGCTAGTGTATCCGCAAGAGCAACGCAAAAGACTACTAACAAATTCTGTTCCCTTGCTAAACTGGTCTCAGCAGCAGGAGTCAGAAAAAGTAAAAATATAGACAACAGTAAATTGCGTCACATTTAGTCCTGTAGTTCGTGTAGGCCGCTGATAAGAGAAAAGTATAAATTTCCAAGGCATTCTGTCACTTCAGAACCACAGGGGCAACACTGTGTTGGCATGCACTAATAATTAGTCCGGTTCTGATGTTAAAGGAAAGTGCAGAGAAGTAAACAATAATAATTTTAGCTTGTTATCTGAGAGTAAGTTAGGTGTAGAGAGGTTACATGCCTAACACTAAGCCCAATATAAATGCCTTGCCTCCGTCTGCTGAAAATATCAGTTTCTGCTTTATGGGCAGGGTTGTAGGCCGTGTGGTGCTTGAGGTTCCGTTGTTTCAACCGATGCCCGTTTTGGCAGTCTTGCTTGTGCAGTTGGGTAAGAGTCCCTTCTGGGTCTCCTCTCCGGTATGTCGTGGGTGGGTTTTCTGCCTGTTGCGTCTCTCGGGATCTGGCTTTGTTTCTTTTCGGTCTTCGGCGCACCAGGCTTTGTGGGCCGCTGTGTGCAGGCTTATGCATTGCTACTCGTTGTTTCCTGTGGTCGCTGAGTGAGAAGTATGTCGGATCTTCTTTTGCGGTACGGGGTCGTGAGAATTGACGTCCAGAAGGCCCTGCGCCGTGTCCCGCCTGTTTGAGCCTGGGCTCCGGTTTCGTTTGGAGGCTGCTCTGGAGTTGTGAGGGGGAGTCCATTGCAAGGTACCCCGGGTGGTCGGGCGAATCCACACCGCCACCGCTCTCATCGCCCTCTGGTAGGGTTGTCTCCTGGCTTTAAGCATTGCCCAGAGGTGGAATCGTAGCAAGTCCACAAAGTCCTTTGTGTGCTTGGGTGGTGCGATGCTCATGTGCTTGGCCTGGGGCCTCCCCCCGCCATCTTGGCCGGGCCCTGCGGATTTTGTTTGCTGCTTGTGCTTGTGGGGGTAATCATCCCCAGCGAGGACCGAGATGTCCCCCACCGGTCCAAAGGGGGGGCAGCAGGGCTGCTTTGGGCTGTTGCGTAGGAGCTCATACCGTGCAAGAAGGTCGGCTGTCTTCTTTGGGCCTTATGCTCTGCGCTAGGTTAGGCTGCATGGCCTGTTGCAGCTTTTCCGCGGCATATCGGTGCCGGGTTTGTATCATCGTGTGCTGTTATGCGTCTGCTCCCGATCACAGTTTGCCGCTTATGCTGTCCTGTCAGTAGGTATTTTCGCTTTTGGGTCCGTTGTTGCAGGAGCTCCTAAAAAGTGCGTCTGGCCATCTTCGCTGTCAGGCCCCGCCCTCTCCACTCCCCATTTGGCCAATTCTTTAATGATAAGTCTTTCATATTTTGTTCTAGTACAGTTAATTTACAGGTTTTTGGTATTTATTTGGCAATTCCCAGAGCTTTTTTTTTTAATCTCTACCCAAACTTGTAAAAGTTGATATAATATTAATGATGTGTCTGTAAGGGCCTCTATATGTTTCTTATCACAGTTTAACCATAGATAGTACTCCAAATTCCTTGTTTTAGTTGCTTCTGCTTCAATAATGTACCAAGGGTCTACATTCACATGTTGCTCTTGTAATTTGTATATATGTTTAATTACATTCGCATAATATATAAGTTTTGCATTAGGAAAGTTTTAAACCCCCCTGTTTTGTCTTTTTAGAAAGTGTCTTTAATCTGATCCTGGGCTTTTTATTCTTCTAGATATAAGATGAAAAACTGGCTTGAATCAAATCTAGCCAGCTCTTCAAAATTTTGAGAGGAATCATTGCAAATAAATTTGGGTACTATATATGCTTTTACAACATTTATTTTCCCCCACCATGATGTTTGCACATTTCTCCATGATTTTAGTGTTTTATTAGTATATTTTAATAATTCCATTACATTTAGTTCCATTGTATTTTCCACTCTAGCTGGAATTAAAACTCCTAAAAAATTTATTACTTTCTACTATCGATTTATCCATATTTTTATACATTGCTGTGGATTTTAGTGGATTTAATTCATAATTTGAAACCAAAGCATATTTATTAATTTATTTAATTAATTCTGGTAAAGATTGTTCAGGAGAAGTCATTATAATTGTAGTATCGTCCGCATATAGCGAAATTTTGATTTCCCTTATGGCGGTATGAAAGCCTTTTAATATTACAATTATCCCTTATGGCGGTATGAAAGCCTTTAATATTACAATTATCCCTTATATTAGTTGCTAATGGTTCCAATGATAATATATAGCAGAGGTGACAAAGGGCACCCCTGCCTTGTACCATTCTTTAATTCAAACCACTCTGCGCATATATTGGTTCCATCACATTAATTTTATCAATTTTTACTTCAGGTATTATTTAAGTGTAATTCAACCTCATCAATAGTGCATTTACCGTGCCAGAAAATACCCTTCTATGTTTTATATGTTTATCTCTCATTTTGTGAAAAAAAAAAAAAAAGCTTAATTGATACATAGATTTGGTTAAACCAAATTCTTAAGTGTTAGCCAATTTGTTAATTTCTCATGTGTCTCAAACACTTCAGAACGGCTATCATAAGTAAGGATTAATTTCAATGGAAAAGATCACTTTTATATCTCATCTCATGCTTTCCTAAGATCTGAATTGCTGGATTGAAGGCTCTTCTTTTCATACAGGTATTGTATGATATGTCTGGCATTATTATTACATTTAGGAAGCGTCCTGTTTTATTTGCTTTCTGTCTCAACGCCTTCAATACTTTTTCTTTAAAGTCAAAGGAATAGAAACGAGCGATCACATCTCTAGGAAAGGATTTTTCAATGTTTTGGGGTTTAAAGACTCTGACATCTTTCTATTATATCCTCATTTTCTTTAAGTGTTAGTCCGAATTCCTCAAAGTTTCTTTTAGATCTTGCTGATCATTTAACTCCTCTAAATTTCTGAAACTGAGGTTTTTTTCTTCTTGATCTATCTTCCAAGTCATCTATCTTTGATTCCAGGGATGTAACTTGTTTTTTAATTTTATCATTGACTTCTTTTAGTTTATTTATCTGAAAATCCGTTTCAACAAATTTATCTTCAAAATGTTGAACTTTTATAATCAATTGGTTAATTTCATGTTTAATCTCTTGTTTAATTTCTTGTGTGTTAGTAGCTATTTCGTTTTCTATTTCTACCAAATTGTTTTGTAAGCTCATATTGAGTTGCTCTGTTATAAGCGATTCTCTCATTCTTTTAGCTTCTGGTTCCAAATGATCTGAACCGGTATTAGATATATCCAAATTCTGTTGGGTATTAACCCTTTGTTGGTCCTTCTGTTGTTGGGGAGAGAAATAATTTGTTACACTCTTATCATGTTGCTGTTTATCTTTTTTTTAACCCCTTAAGGACACAACTTCTGGAATAAAAGGGAATCATGATGGTTTATTTCCGTCGTGTCCTTAAGGGGTTAATGTTCCTTTTGATTCTTGAGGTTTTCTATTTGCCATTTTGTTACAGAGTCTTCTCTCGTTCACTTAGTCTTTCACGTAGTCCCCTTTAAATTTGGGAGCTTTACTTTATTTCCAAATAAAGATTTTTCTCCTCTCCCTTCTTTGCTCTTTACCCAGCACCACACCTCAGTTTTTCTGATTTTCCTTTGCTTTTCCTTTCTCTCCTCTCCTCTCAATCTTACTTTTGTCTTTCTTTTTCAGATTGCTGATATTATTATTATTATTATTATTATTATTATTATTATTCAGAATAAATTACAATTTTAAACCAGTCATAAAGATAACAAGAAATGTAAAATTTATCTGAGGGAGTGTATTTCCCTTTGCCAGCTCCGGTTTCTTTTCTTTTTTTTTTTTTTTTTGCAGTAGCCAACCAAACCTTTGTTGTTTTATGTTTGTGGACTTCTCATGTCCGGCTTATTCAAATCCAATCTATCCCATATAGGTGGTTCGCGCAGGTTTTTATAAATGCTGTTCGAGGTAGGAATTGTAGCTGGTACTCTGGAATCTCTCGTATCAGCAATTTATTCCCTCCTTTCAGCCGAGCAAAGAGTCGTGTTGGGAGCCCCCATTTTAATGCGAACAAGCCCATGCGTCTGTCATTAGTCGGCCGTCCTACCGGAGCTCTGCCACACTCCACCACGGTAGCCCCTCCTCTTCCACCAGAGCGTTACCACGTCATGACGCCTTTCACTACCTAGTATCAAGTATGATGAAATTTTAATGCAGTAAAAATGTAAAAAAAAATAAATTCTCCCACAGAATGTCCCTCACGTGGGGAAATTCATACATTCCAATCCATTAAAAGTGACATTCAGAAAGACCAGACAGTGACTAAAACGTATCAGCCTCTCCTGGATCTTCCAAACAATGTAGTATAACTCTCAGCTTTTTTTATTTTTTTAAATTCATTTTTTAACTTACATGAATTAAACTGTAGGCTGTTTGTCAATGCTTTGTGCTGAAAAAGTGTATATATTTGTGCAATTTTTTTAACTTCTGTGACAGATTTTGGCTTGTAGCCTTGCGTGTTTTTTGTCAATGTAGTTAACTGTGCTTCTTAATCTACTCCACACTGTGGAGAGCTGAAAGACAGTGTCTCTGTCCAGCAGTGCTAATTCCCGGCAGACGGCAACATAGAGTGGACAGAGCTGCTATACGGTAAGGTATTCAAGCAGCCAGAGTCCACAATATATAATCTCTCCATTGTATATGATAGAAGAACAAAGAAGGTAGTAGAGCTGCTAAAGTCTCCAAGTTCTCCAAATGATTGCCATTCCTTTCATAACAGAGCTAGGCTACTCCAAGTTCACACTGTAGTTATTCTGTGTGGCCGATTACATGTATCCAGGTTGTCATTTTCTATTAATGCAGTGGGAGAGCCAGATGCACGGACTTGGCTGGAGCAGCATGTAGTATGTCAATACTGGACATCCAGAGCGCACAGATTTTCTCACAGCTCACACTTGCACTCTAATTTGGCAGCTATCTGGTAAGATATTTTTAAAAATTCTTTATCCACAGATGTTTTCTGTTCTACAGATCAGCTGTACAGGGCTGATAAGAGTTTTCATTTTCCCAGCTTGGAGCTTGATTAAGTTACATGAGAACTAGTATTGGTTTCTCTCACTCCCACTTTTCCTTTAATGTCTAACTTAATGGTCCACTGTGAGAAATGCATTTATAATACACTCTTAAGTCTTCTACCGTGCATTTACATTTGTTATATAGAGCATAGACCGTTTTCTTTATTTTCTTCATCTTCAATATTCTGGAGATATACAGGATTATTCACTTAAGTGAGAGTACAAGGTGAATTCAGAGTGAATTTCAAATTTAAGGTCAATATATCTGAACAGAAAAGCAGCTATTCTTTCAGTTCAGCTACTCTGGCCTTAAATATGAAATTCACTTTAAATTCTCACATTAGTAAATGACATTCATAGTATTCATGTCTGGATTTCTGTTGAAATATAGGAGCTTTATTCACCAAACTGTTGAAGTGAGTTGAGAGCTAATGTGTAAAATTGATTAAATCTCCAGTTCAGCCAAACTGTTCTTTTATTTATTTATTGCAAATCTGCTACCTTAATTTTTAAATTCTTATTAAAGTCACCCCAGCTCACTGTATTATAAAAAGACTATACAGCCGGCCCTTTCCTAAATAATGCTACTGCTCCCTTGCAGACATTATGGATTATTTTTGAAAGCCAGAGAAGTTAATATTGACTACATCAGAAGGGGAAGTGAAGTTGCCCTGTACCATGTACATATTCTAGATTTATTTATTTATTTATCTATATATATATATATATTTTTTTTTTTTTTAGGGACAAGCACTTATACTCCACAGATCCTCTTTATACACCCGATGAGAAAACAGTTGTTACTGAAACCCAGGTGATTCGAGAAACTCTTTGGTAAGTCGATATTCTGAGCAAGTCAAAATGGTATAGTGTATATACGCTGTTTATTTTTTTCTGTTGCAATTCTGTCTGGAGGCTCTTTCTACAAATAAATGAATCCTATTGATAAAAAAATAAAGCCACAGTAAATCATTATAATATTTTTACATATATGTCTGTGATTATTACAAAAAATATTCAGTCATAGAACCACATTATTAAAATGCATAGCAAATAACAAAGTGTAATAATCATAGTCAAATATGATAATGAAGCATTATTCATAAGACAGAGTATTGGCAAGTAAAGAAATACCTGATAGGTCAACTGAATTCATGTTGGAACTAGGCACAGTTCAGATGGATGGAACATGAATCCATTTAGCAAAAAAATAAAATCCATCTGTCCGAATTTGAAAAGAATAGGTCTGTGCAGTGTTTCTTAGAAAAAGATTAGATTCATGGGTATAAGGAAAAGTTAATAGGAATATTTATTTCATTTATTATTTTCATGTATTGTCTGTTCCTTAAAGATGGATAGTAATTTTTCATTAGAAAACGTAAACAAATGTTAATGTTATATTACTTGTTGCTCTATATGCTATTGTTACTCTATATTCTAGGTTACTCTCGGGTGTAAAAAAGCTGTTAATTTTTCATCTGAATGATGGGAAAGTGACAGTGAGGAATGACATTGTTGTGACTCACATGACTCAGGTATGTTGGTTACAAATGAGTAATTCTTGTGTGGATAAATGACATTTGTTGTGTTATGATGAAAGCAGATTTCCATGTTCGAAAATTGCTAACTCTGCAATGGAATGTAATTAATTGATACATCCAACCATATCAGCCTCTTTGAAATGAGACACGTAATTCTTGTTTATTTTTTTTATTTATTTATTTTATTTAAAGAATTGTCTGAGGTCAGTGCTTGAGCAGTTAGCAGCGTATGGACAAGTGGTTTTCAGGCTGCAGAAATTCATTGATGAAGTCACCGGGCATGGATCTGAGAGTACACTGCCAGGGACCCTTCCAACTGCCAAGAAGAATACTGAAGCTCAATTTCGTACATACCAGGCTTTTGTGTGGGTTTTGTACAAGTATTTCACCAGTTTTAAAGAAGAACTAACAGAGATTGAAAAGTGTATCATCAATAAAGGTATAATATAAACTGTGTATTGAACAATGTTTATATATCCATATCTCCAAAACATGTTGTTTTTTTTGTTTTGATCTTTTCTCCTTCATTTTTTTGTTGTTGAAATGTTTGTATTAGATCAAACCATGACTTTGTCAATGGTGATTGACAAGTTGGCACCTCGACTTGCACAGCTTAAAGTACTACACAAGGTTTTCAGCACTGGGATAGCAGAGGTACCACCAGACACAAGGAATGTGGTGAGAGCCTCTCATCTTCTAAACACTTTATACAAAGCAATTCTGGAATACGACAATGTAGGAGAAGCTTCAGAGCAAACGGTGGGTACTATCCACACTCATGACAATTCATAGATGTTTTCTTTATTAGCAAAATATTAAGAAGAAATCAGCTGATTCTGTTTGACAGAAGTAACTTTAAGTATAATCTGTTTTGTGTAATTGACATTTTTTATACTAAGAAAACAACTACAACCCTCATAACTATGAATAAAATCCTTAAAATAGCATTTCCCCTTGTACAGCGCTGCAGAATTTGTTGGCACTTTATAAAAATAATAATTTATTGTACTTAGAATAGAGATAAATATCATGAACTTCAGTGAACTCTATTGATATATTATGTATTGTAGGTGTCTCTACTTTTTTTCCTTTGGGTTGAAACTGTGAGACCATATTTAGAAATTGTGGATGAATGGATTGTTCATGGAAATCTCTTCGACCCAGCAAAAGAATTCATTATTCAGAGGTAAATACAGGCAAGTCACAGTGGATATTTTTATTTCGCAATAAATGCACATATGGCTCTAGATCAAATATCACCTGTTTCTGTTTGCGTATGAAACATGAGCAGCTTTTGGTGGTAAATCACAGTTGTTCATCTTTTTGTACTGTAAAGGATCCTTCTATTCGTGCAGTGTATTCTATTCCTTGTAGCTTCTCCCGAAATCCCGCTGAAACAGAGTGATTATAGCTTCCAATCCCCCAAACATGAGTCGAGACTTCATGAAGGGGTAAAACAATCTGATTTAATGGGGGCTACCTGCCCGGTATTTATGCAGGTCTACCACCTGGTGGACACTCCCCTAGGGGACCAGATGGAAGACTGGGACAAAAGAATTACAGTAGCCAATCGCAGTGGCTATAACATAAGCACTCCCCTTTTACATAGGTCACTCCCTCCTTTCCATCCTGAAGATAATTAACTTAAGGTAGTAAAGAGAGCCTTAATTATCTCCAGGTAGAAAGAAACATGGCTTTTCCCATATTCACAAAACAGCATAAAAATCTATAACTTATATTTTACTGAACATAAACTTTAGGTCCCACATACCCCCAGATAGCTTGGATCTGAGTGCATATTCTAGGCCAGTGATGGCGAACCTTTTTGAGCCCGAGTGCCCAAACCGTAATACATGCCAATTTTTTTTCCCCTCAAAGTGCCAAAACGGCAATTAAACCTGAATATTGAGGTTTAAGTTTAGAAAAAACAACTCATACAGTTGTCCGAACTAATTAACATCTCTGTGTGTGTATTAAGCAGTTTGTGTGTGTGCTCGGCATTCTGTCTGTATGTGTATTTAGCAGACTGCTGAATACACACAGACTGCTGAGTACACAGTCTGCTAAATACACACACACACACACACACACACAGACTGCTAAATACACACACTGCATTGAGGGGTACAGTGTATGTGTTTGTGTGTGGAGTGATGTGTGTGTGGGGGGATGTGTGTGGGGTGGTGTGTTTGTGTGTGGGGGGTGGTGTGTGTGTGAGGTGATGTGTGTGTGTGTGTGTCTTTTTGTGGGGTGATATGTGTAGGGCAGGGGTGCTGTGTGTATGTCGTCCCCCCTCTACCCCCTCTGTTTTCTTTCCCCCCATCCCTCCCTCATTTTTTTCTCCCATCCCACACTCAGTTTTCTCCCTCCCCTCCCCCATCTCTCCCTCAGTCTCCTTCCCCTCCCCCATCTCTCCCTCAGTCTCCTTCTCCCTCCCCCCATCTCTCCCTCAGTCTCCTTCTCCCTCCCCCCATCTCTCCCTCAGTCTCCTTCTCCCTCCCCCCCATCTCTCCCTCAGTCTGCTACCTTGTAGCGTGGCCGAGCGCCGCGGAGCTCAGTTTCCTGTACCCGGCGGACAGGAAGTGCTCTCTCTGTGAGCACTTCATTTCCGTCCGCCCGGGTACAGGAAACATAAGTTCCTGTACCGCGGTGCGCTCGGCCACGCTACACAGAGCGCCTGGCAGGAGGGAGCGCTCTGCGCTATGCGCTCACCTCCTGCCGGTCACTCCGGCTTTGCGCCCGCCGAGCCGGTGCACCCTAAGGCGGCCACTTGTGCCGCCTTATGGATGCGCCGGCGGAGCGCACCCTCCCTCCGGCGACCTATGGCCGCGTGCCCACAGAGGGGGCTCGGCGTGCCACCTGTGGCACGCGTGCCATAGGTTCGCCATCACTGTTCTAGGCGAATAGCGCTCAGATCCCACGAACACAGTTCTCAATAACGTCGAATGAAGTTTGGACTTTACCGGCCGTTTGCATGTTTGTATCCGACAAAGAGTTCCACACTGTAGCTATCTGGGGTCGGTCTCTTTCGCATAAATCCAAGTCCCGAACGGTGCAATGTCTCCGGTATTCGTGTGTTTTCAACCGTACGAACGAGGACCTTGGTAAGTATCCGAAAAAGAGTTCCAGGGCATCGCCGCCATTTACCGCTGGGCGTTCGATTTAAAATGGCGACTGCCACGTGTTCGGCAGACGAACGCGGACCACCAAGCTGTTCCCCAATTACGCTGTGGTTAACCGCAAAGTCTGGGTGGTTAATGGGTGCCACACGACCTCAGTAGGAGGTCGGGTGATTCGGCAGTTTATTCGTTTCATTGCTATTTGCACGAAATCACCCCACACACGTCTAAATAACCGAGCAGGCTGGTTTGCATAGTTGGTTTAACAAGGGATTTTGTTACATGTACCATTTATGGGAGCTGTTTGGGCCACACTTACTAGATCTAAAGGTTATCAGCCTTCCTGTATGGTTGTGGTGGAAATGTAATTGACCAGGATCTTATCATAACGAAAACTTGCTAAATCAAACCAATTGGCAAGGAACATTGAAACTTCTGATTGGACAAGCTGTCTGTCATTATGCTTGCCAGATTAAATGTTATTTAGTGTATATACCAGCCTTTGCAATTGGTATTGGCATTCTAGAATTATCGCAGCAAGTGATCTCTTGGGCTGTAGTGAATATTTAGGTGCACATTGGTCATTTGCAAGAACGTTTCTTTCACTCATTGAAGCACATTTTGGTGGTATTGGTTCAGGATAGAGTTGGTCACTTACAAAGCAAGGTCAGTATTGCATTTCCAATCCTCTAAATAGCAGTTTAACAGGCCTCCTTGGTTTTGCAGCATGTTGAAGAAAAGCTGATGTTATTTTGCATTGCTGAGTCTATAACTGTAATGTCAGCCTACTGAAAAGAGAGATATATATATATATATATATATATATATATATATATATATATATATATATATATATATATATATATATATATATATATAATTTTTTTTTGTTTTTTTTTGTTTTTGTTTTTTAAAGAATGGAAGGCATTCACCATTATAAATAGTTTGCAGAACTGCACAATACAATAGATTTACAGATTTATGTGGAAAACAATGAAGACTCTTGCCTTGAATCCTCAACATTTTATTGTAGCACAGAGTAATCATTGAAACATTGTCACTATATTCTCTTTAACAATGTTATACTGTCATTTCTAAACATTCAAAAACCCATTTTCAGTGCTGTTTTTTGGGTTCTCTATACACATGTATGTAATTGGATTATTAACTGGTCTAAAATCTTGATCCATGTTCACAAACATTCCATTGCAACCACATGATTTCCTTGTTATGCTACTTATACTGTTTAGGGCATGAATGCTGAACCTCCAGCCTTTCAAATAAAAGCAGTGTCTTTTCTGGGAAAAGGCATTGTTTACATTTTACAATTTCCTCTCCTATAGTGGCTGTCACACAGGCTTCAGACTAAAAATCTGTATCTATTTTACAACTTACCTTTATATGCAAAGTAGGCTGATGACGGATGCTAGGTATGCTTCCGAGAATGTCTGTCTGAGATTGCTGCACATGTTCATTATGACCAAAATGCCCTCTGAGAAGCATCTAATTGAACAAAAATTATTGTAAAAGGACACTATAGTTGCCAGAACCACTACATCTTGGCATAGCTTAACTTCAGTTTTTGTTTGTCACTAGAGGTTTTACTAGGCAGTGTTTACAGTCACTCAGTTGGCCACGAGAGGTGCTTCCTATCTCAGTGCTGCACAGTGCTCAGCACCTACGTACAGCGTCTATACGCTTTGCATGGAGACGCTGAATGTTCTCCATAGAGATGCAATGATTCAGTGCATCTCTAAGAGGACAAGCTGATTGGTGCAGCGATATGCCACTCGTGCGCAATAGCCTCTCAATGCTTTTCTATAGGTGCACATCCCAGCCATTTTGGCAGGGCCAGCCAGGGGGAGACCGTCACGATTTAAATACCATTAAAAATATGGATGAAATTTATATTTGTAATATGGAGGAAGAGGAACAGCTGCCAATCAGGGAGCCGGTCACCAGGATCTCTGTTTATGCAGTTTAGGCAACTATAACCAGTACATAGCAATACAGTGGCGACAGCGTCATTGGGCTGCAGATGCCAATATGTGGATGGAGCCTACAGCCTAATGACACTATCGCTACTGTATTGCTGTGTACTGGTTATGGTTGCATAGTCTGTTCCTATAAGTGAGATATGTATTCCAGCCATATTTGTTTTCTCCTTGTAAACTAATGTTTTTTTGTGATATAAAACAAAGAAACATCTTCGTGTCTTTCTTTTTTTCTGTAGAAATAAAGATGTTCCTGTTAATCATCGTGATTTTTGGTATGCTACATACACATTATACAGTATTTCAGAAAAGACTGAGAATGAGGATAAAATGAGCGACAATGCTAGTGCCAGTTCAGGAAGTGACCAGGCCCCAGCAAGCAGGCAGCACACCATGGTCTCCTTCCTGAAACCTGTGCTAAAGCAGATCATAATGGCTGGAAAGTCTATGCAACTACTGAAGAATTTAAAGTGCAAAGTGACCTCACACCAGAATTCCAGAAGAGGTTTGTTATATTTCCACAAAGGGAAACAAATGGAGGGGGCTATCTGTTTTTGTTATTTATAATGTTTAAACAGACCGTTGTCCATAAACCAGAAGAAATCTTTATTTAGTCTCTGAGCATTGATTAGAAAACCACATTTTTAAATCTAGGTTAAAATTTGGAAAGATTCTACTACTCAGCCATAGTCACAGCATTGCTATTTTAGCCTTGATTTAAATTAAATATTGATTTGGTCCTCAACTCACTGTTTACCTCTTTAGAGCGGCATACATACTTATGTGTCCCCAAAATATACATACATGCACACGAATTAGCATCTGGACCTAGTCAGAGGCCTTTAAATGCTAGCTTCCACCACTATACCACTTGATGGGGTAATTATAACGTCTGTTTTAGACACTTCAACTTAATCCCTTACCATCCTAAATTTATTCCATAGATGGAAGGAATCTCACCAGCCTCGTTTTCCTCCATATTTCTTCCATAGATAAATGTAGGTGCACTTTTTCATCTCACTACATCTTAGAACTATAGCAGAGATTTCCAGTATCAACCAAAGCCAGTGTAATGATGATGAACCCTGACTGGGTGAAAATCCACTGTCCATACTTGAGTATTATTAGATCATTTGTTCCATTTCAAAGGTCCTGATTGAAACAGACAACCTTACAGGATATTGCATCTTTCTATCTTTGAGTAGTCAGAGTGCCGGGGCATAAGATCACATAAATAACAGTCTGTGTTTGAAGTGATGAATCTGCCCAAACAACTACGGTACTTCAGCTCTCTGTTACAAGAGCCTATTCCTTTCACTTATTGCTGTGATTGAACAATGAGCAGTGAGTGGAAGGCGTCTGCAATGTATAATATGAGATACATTTCAACAGGTTTTTATTTAAATTGTATTTAATATTCTGTTTTTTTAAATATAGTTCTGTTTTGCATTGTGCTAAACCCAAACAGGGAATAGAGATGGGATTTGATTGTGACGTATACAATGTGTCTTGTCAGCACAAGTAAAAATGAAAGGCGATGTGATATATATATGTGTATAAATATCTGTGTGTGTGTGTGTGTGTGTGTGTGTATGTATGTGTGTGTGTATATATATATATATACACACACACACTCCTTCACTCACCTGGCTGCAGTGTATTTGTATACAGAGTACAGCCCATTATGAAAGATTAAAAGTATGCTATTCAAAATCTAAAAGTACCCACAAATACAAACCTTTTTCTTGTATAAACAAATGAGGAAATTGCAAACTAACTTATTGTTTGTTTATATTTTTATTTGCTTCTCTTTTTCTAGATGCCGATAGGAAAAGCCTGTATACATTATTTTTAGAATCTGTGCAATCCCGTCTTCGTCATGGGAAAGATTCCGCTCCTGACATCATCACAGAACAGCAAGTTAACAAGCAGAGTCTGATAAAAATGCAGTCTATAGTGGCCAGACATCTAGAATTAGATGATGTTCATGATCCCCTCCTGGCAATAAACTTTGCAAGGTGATTACATAGTAGAGTTGAAGAAAAATCAATTACCAAGTACAACATGATAATTTTGTACCATATTGAATAATCTGTCTAGTGCCTGTATAAAATAAGAATGAGCCAAGGTGCTAATAAATGATTCTGGTACTTGCATGAAATGCAGGCAATTTGTAATCAATTTGTTGCAACACAAAATACCACAGTTTGAAAAGGCTTTTATATTTAAAAGCTGTGTCCATCTGAAATGGGACCCAGGTTTGCCCTGCTTTTATAGGGAGTTTATATACTTTGTAGATTTATTTTCTTTAACCCCTTTCATACCAAATCCTACACCACTTTAGATTGTGAAAACTGGATCCCTTCCATGGGACTTACAAATGGATCAGCGGAGACACCAATGTTTATTAGCTCATATATAGACAGAGGGCACATGAGGGGTACAGACGTCATTAAAGGCATTCTAGTCGCTAGGGCACTGCCTTAGAGAGCTCTGAATTTTATGGGATTATACGGTCTTATCTGCGCCTTGTATAAGGCAGTTTTGTTGCTGTGTAAAGTTATGTTTGCAGGATGAGAGCGTGCCTGGACCAGTGAATTCATACCTGGTCAGATGTATAAAAATCATTACAACATTTTAGAGTTCTCTTGATGTTTAAATAGACACTTCAACATGCAACAGTGCTCTATTGAGAAAGCATATTGTAAGATATAAATGCCTATGTTGTCCATATTTCCAATTTTGTCTCCAGGCTGTATTTGGAACAAAGTGACTTTCTGGAGACGTTTACCTGTGGAGATGTCAGTGTTGATAGGTCTTCAGAATCTGTAACATGCCAGTCGTTTGAATTGACCCTTCGATCTTGTCTGTATCCTCATATTGATAAGCAGTATCTACAGTGCTGTGGCAACCTCATGCAAACCTTAAAGGAGGATTATAGGTGAGAAACGGTAATGTTCACTTACCTGGAAATGTGCTTAAGCCCCCAAGGATTTAAATGGGTAGTTTAAACACCATTGGCACAACAGCTCTCTGTAGTTATTATGCAAAAGAGTCTTAGTGCATTGCCCCACCAATTTATGTTTTTGAACAGTTTCAGCTGCTCAGAGTGCTGGGCTAACATGGCTCCAATCCATCACTCACAGCCTTTCAGTGCCATTTAAAATTGTATGGATGATATTGACGTTTAAACTTGCATGTTAGCCAAGTGGCAGCAGAGGCCTGGGCTTTATGAGCAAGGGTGAAGCACACTCTTCCAAACCACATGAAAACTGACTCAAATTAGAGAGAAGGCATCAAAAGAATTGTTACACCCCCAAAACTATAATGAGCTGCTGTTGTTTTGGTGGTCAGTGTCCTTTTAAGGCCACCTCGAAGTTATGTAGACTTTGTAAACCACTGTTCTTTCCAGCTGCCATTATTCTTCAGTTTAAAATAAATGTAATAAAACTTGTGAGAAAAAAGTAGAAGAATGCATTGTTGTTGCAGCACTAATTTTAAATCACCAGTCTTTAAAGAAATTTATAAAAATATTAAGAATGGTGGTAATTTTTTTAATTAAAACATATTGTATCTATTTTATTAATTATTCCCTTTCACGTTACTCTTTATAATTTTTTTTTATTATTTACTTTAGGTTGGTAGAATATTTGCAAGCCATGAGGAATTTTTTTCTTCTTGAAGCTGGAGACACTATGTATGATTTCTACACTTCCATTTTTGATAAAATAAGAGAAAAAGAACCATGGCAAAATGTAGCTTTTCTGAATGTTCAGCTCCAGGAGGCAGTTGGTCAGCGATACCCTGAGGACAGCACACGGTAAAGAGTGCAACCCAAAGACCATTTAATCTCACAAATCCAGTGTAATTTTGTATAATTTAGCAGTGGCAACTATTAAAGTGTTGTTCACTAAAGTATGAATTGTCAGGAATAAAAAGTGAACTTTACATATTTGGCCAAAATAGCTGAACTGAAACAGTTTACTTGGATAATTGTTCCTTATTGTTCAGTATGGCTACTGTGTAATAAAATTTGGAAACACACATGCAGGATTATTTACTAAAGTGGGAATGGTCTTGAATCCAAAGTAAATTTCAAATTCCAGTTCAGCTACTTTTGGCCTTAAATTTGTTTTGAATATTTTTATTGTATGCATAACATAGGTTCATACGTCAAACTGATTTGTAACAAAGCAAGTGGTTGTCCACGCAGGGGCTCAAGCATTGGTTCAACACAGTATATAATTTTGGTTGCCTACACAGAGGCGAATCCGTCTTAGCTTGTTTAGCTTATCCTGTTTTACATATACATTTAGTTGCCCGCGTGGAGGCGAAATTGTCTTGTCTTGTGTTTGTGTTCACATGTGGTTGCATTGTGTTTTATACTCTCATGTGCCGTGTTGCTATATTATTTCGATTCTAGCGTTAAGTAAGTGTTTTATGTTGACAGACAATGGTTTGACACTGCGTATACATTTGGTTGCCTGTGTATCGGCGATATCGTCCTGTCATGTGTTTGTGTTCGTATGTGGTTGCTTTATGTTTTATACTCTTATGTACTGTGTTGCCTTATTATTTCGATTGTAGCGTTAAGTAAGTGTTTTATGTTATCTGGTGTATACCAGTGTTGCGTGTGTGCTAATTGGTAAATGCAGATTGTCTCCCATACAGAGGCAAATGGATTAGCTAGCACAAAGAGCATATTTGTTTGCAATTTGTTGCCTTAATCAATACTTAAGCTATTTGGATATCAGGTATGCAGTTATAGGCGACTGTCCCGACTCTCGTGCGGCAGTCAGTGAATAAATATTTATCAGTGTCTACCTTTGGCCCTTATGGGCATTTTAGCATTTACTGCACATTCAATTGGTAATTTTGATACAGCATCATGTAAGCGGAATAGATGCGGACTGCATGCAGCTGTTAAAGCATAGGTTGCGGGCTATTCCTTAAAAAAAAAAAAAAAAAAAAAAAATTTTGTTCGCATTGAACTGGTATTAACTGAGAACATGTATAAAAGCCCCTAAGTATTCTTTATATGTATCGAAGCTCAGTTGAGAAACTGCTCAAGTGTCCAGAATTGCACGTGAGCTTGCTTATAGGTATAGTCCCGTGGTTGTCAGCGGTGCATGTTGAGCTGAATTATAGAGCTGTAAGCTATCTGCATACCGGATCGGTGCGGTCCCTCAGGGTGTCGGTCTTCCGTCTGTCCACCCCTTGGACTCAGGCCCCCGCGGGGCGCTCTGCGATGCCGTGGGCACTCGGGGTCCGGGTCAGTCCATGAGACCCCCCACAAAAGTCCCAGCACTCTCCGTCCCCTGCACCTCCCCAGCGTCGTTTGCGCTGCCAGATAACATCTGGGCCCACGAGTCTCACCCGGCGCAGGCCTCACACTTAGAGCCGGTGCGCCTCCTCCCTCCCGGCCACCGGTAAACCGGAGGGGTTCAGAGCCCTCTGGCCCCACAGGACTCACTGCGTCGGGGACATCCTTCTCCGAGCCACCCAGAAACCCAGATGCAGGGTCCAGTATCGTCACCAGGGGGTAGGCCCTCCGGGGTGTCCGTCCGTGGGCCGACAGCCGTCGGGGCCCCTCGAGCCTCATACAGAAGCCTCCACATAAAGGTGGGTAGTTCACTTCGTGCGTGCTTGTATTCCATCTGCCCTTATCTGCTGGCGGGCTGTTCCTGGGAGCCTTTGCCAGTGTAGGTGATCGACCCGCACGGGCCTCCGTCGCCGCGGAGATCATCACCATGTGGCCGGGATAACCCCCACCGGCCTGGGGGGGGAGCGGGGCCGTGCCGCCCGCCGGGCCCATCCGTTCAGCTTCGGATCCAGGTCTCTTTTTCAACGTTTGCCCCGCCGGGCCGCTTCGCCTTTCCTGCCTCCCTCCATGTGCGGCCGTGTTTGCCATGTTTGCCTGCTTTTTGCTCTCTTGGTGCGGGATTGGCCCCATGTAGGTATCCTACTGGTGCAGGGTGCGTGCATTATCGTTCGGTTACCGGGGTGTCCCCTTTTTGATGCTGCATGACCACTTTTGAAGTCGTTTTTTGGGGATCGTGGGACAGAGCTAAAGCTCATGGCTGCCATCCAGCTCGGCGGCCCGGCCCCGCCTGGCCTTAAATTTGAAACTCATTTTGGATTCACTTAACCTAAAAAATCCTACCTCAATAAGTAATCATTTTAGAATACACTTTGAAATCCCTGCATTTCGCAACGTAGTGAATGGCCTTATCTGTACAATTATTTATTTATAAAATATTTTACCAGGAAGGATACGTTGAGATGTCCTGGGTCCACAAAACATTGCATTGATACAATAGGGCACAATAAAATACAAAAACAATATTAATACACATTAAATACAAAATTTACCATAGAACAGGTAGGAAATATATAATCAACCATGACACGTGCATTCTGTTTTGAGGTATGTAGATAGAGATCTCTTAAAGGACTTTACGCTTGGGGAAGATTTGAAAGTGTGCGGAGGTCGTTCCATAATTGCGGTGCTCTGTAAGAAAAAGAGGATCGGGCCTCTTTCTTTTTGTGTTGAGGTAGACTAAATAAAGTGCTGGTACTGGATTGGAGATTATAGGAGGTGGGAACAGCCAGGGAGAGCATTTTGCTCCTATAAAAGCTCTTAAACACAAGGCTGGAAAGATGAAGAGCGTGTCGGGATTCCAGCGGCAGCCAGTTTAGTTCTTTTAGCATGTCACAATGGTGGGTCATGTAATTGTAGCACAAATCGGCAGAACGAGTTATACAATGTATTACGTTTATTAAGGTGGGTTTGCAGTGCAGGTGCATATACTACATTCCCATAATTAATGATTGTCATCAGCATTTGCTGTATAATCTTTTCCTTTACTGTAGGGCTTAGGCAGGATTTGTTTCTGTACAGAGCACCTAGCTTTTCCGTGTTTAATATAATATTTCTAATCACATTTGTGGTAGCTGTAATTTTAACGTGTGCTTTCTGTGACCTTCCAGTGTATTACTGCTATTAATAAACAGTTTGAAATGTAAAATAAGTTATAATGCTATTGAGCTCTGCCGGTTAGAGCAGTGGTAACATTACTGCATTAGAACTATGAAACCCTGGTTCTAATTCCTCGACCCCTTTCTGTAATTGTAAAGCACTGCAGAATGTTGGCACAATATAAATCATAATGATTATCATAATAATAAGGTGTATATTTTAAGTACTTCATCAAATACCGATGGGGTTTGTTTCATCGACATGCATATATCCCTTAGGATGGCACAAACATTTATTTTTATCCTGGTGTATTATACTTTCAGTGTTGGGGGTACACATATACAGAAATACACAACACAATGCCTGGCTTGAGTGATGGTATGCCTACACCTATTTACATGGTGAGATAAATGTCCTTTTAAATATAGAAGTTTAAATCTATTTTTAGCTTCTGAGGCATCTGGAAGGAGCGTTCATAAACGTGGCATAAAATGGTTATTTCAGATTGAAAAATCTAGTCTTAAATGGCTGATCAAAACCTACAATTTGTGATTTACATTATATTGTTTCTTGATCTTTAATGTAAAATGATGAATACCTATGGTATGCAGCCTCTCACTAGCGTGATGTTCTTACTCCATAGCAAGTGTGTGATCCAGCAGGCATTTTGGATATTTGTATTAATACTTACATTTTTATCTCTGCAGGTTATCCATTTCTTTTGAAAGTGTTGACTTGGCCAAAAAGAAGCTTCCTGTACATACATTAGATGGTCTGATACTTAGCTACAAGGTAAATAAGAGCATGGGTTAATAAAGATTGCATATTGATCTCTATTCATTGTGACAATACTGTTTTCTTTCTTTTTATATTAGGTTCCGTGGCCAGTTGATATTGTAATAAGTTTAGAGTGTCAAAAGATTTATAATCAGATCTTTCTTCTCCTGCTGTTGATTAAGTGGGCTAAATACAGCTTGGATGTCTTGCAATTCAATGGTAAGAATATATGCAATGTAACTAAAATAGCCACACAAGTCTAGACAAAAGCATAAGAGGTGACAAAGGTCCACATGAATAAAAGTTATTCACTAAAAAGGGGTTTGTGAAGGACTGACATGGGGGTCGCGGACTTTATGCCAAACTAGTTGGATAACCTCAATTCAGCTATTTTGGCCTAAATTTTGTTGATTTAATTCATCCACAATTCTCAATTTAATTAATAAACTTAAATGTATTGCAGTTTTGTTAGGTTTTTGTTTTCTGAAACCTTCTATAAAAGGTAACATGTATGCTGCGTGGTTTTAAAAGCCAAATTGATGTAACTTTTATGGACACAGGAAAAAAAAAGTTACAGAATAGACAATTCAATGTTGATGAATATTGTGACATTGAGTGTATATGTAATAAGTATTAATACGCTCTGACCCAGCATACCCTTGTGTTTGAAGAGGGCACTAAAAGCAATGTCTAAAATTTTGCAATAACAAAGGGTTATTTGTTGAAATCAGAATGTTAAGAGTTAAAACTGAATTTGGAAAACATTTCAATGTTAACTTTGCTTTCAGTATTGGCTATTTTAACCTAAAATGTGAATTATTTAAGTGTATATGAGCAGGGAGTTTGAATGTGTTGACAGGGCATGTATTAAAGGTTTGTGATAGAGACATTGCCATTTAGGTGCTTCAAAACCTAAATATGAATCTGCCACTCCAGTGATCGGATACAACCTTCTTTTTATATTATGTTGTTTTTTTGTTTTGTTTTTTTAGAACTGGTTAAGGCTGAGGAAAATGAATCTTCACCGGGAGGTGTTGAACCACCCCTTCTGATTTCTGTAACCTCAATAGAAGAACCCAAAGGGCAACAGATTCACCGCATGTTTCTTCTTCGTGTCAAGCTGATGCACTTTGTTAACAGCTTACATAACTACATGATGACAAGGGTTCGTTACTGATGGCTTGCTTTTCACTGGATTTTACTTTATGAACACACAAACATACAGACAAGAGCCAATACCTCTGCTTCAGACAAGAGCCACTATCTATGCTTTGAGTCTAATACCATCTCTTATTAATCAAAATAACTTTAAATTAGGTAGCAGAATAGTATATTGATAAATCTCAATTTGCATAAAACGAATTCTGATTATTGTTCATTGTGTAAATTGTCTGTTTTGTAACGCTCATCTTGTCAAAGCACCAGTGTTTATTCATATAGTTACATTTTCAAAGGGGTACAACTTTAAATCTACCTAGGTTACAGTGGAATAGTTCTGATTTAAGAGCGGATTCTCTCTGTAGGACTCCAGTATTGCTGTTATCTAGGAAGATATTTTGCAAAATTAATAAATTGTGAACATTTTAAAAGTGACTCATACCAAGTTGCACATATCTTTCTAGTTAATCAGTGCATGTCTACCCAACTGTGCATTTGTAGGACAAAAATGGAGATGTAGCAGACCTATAAGGGACAGAGACTACATAAAGTAGTTATTATTTCTGATGACTTAAAGGTAGGCAGACAATGTAATAGAGCAGCAGGAAATGCTAGCAGAATGCTTGGTTGTATAGGGAGAGGTATTAGCAGTAGAAAGAGGGAAGTGCTCATGCCATTGTACAGAACACTGGTGAGACCTCACTTGGAGTATTGTACACAGTACTGGAGACCGTATCTTCAGAAGGATATTGATCCCTTAGAGAGGGTTCAGAGAAGGGCTACTAAACTGGTTCATGGATTGTGGGATAAAACTTACCAGGAAAGGTTAAAGGATCTTAACATGTATAGCTTGGAGGAAAGACGAGACAGGGGGATATGATAGAAACATTTAAATATATAAAGGGAATCAACACAGTAAAGGAGGAGACTATATTTAAAAGAAGAAAAACTACCACAACAAGAGGACATAGTCTTAAATTAGAGGGACAAAGGTTTAAAAAATAATATCAGGAAGTATTACTTTACTGAGAGGGTAGTGGATGCATGGAATAGCCTTCCAGCTGAAGTGGTAGAGGTTAACACAGTAAAGGAGTTTAAGCATGCATGGATAGGCATAAGGCTATCCTAACTATAAGATAAGGCTAGGGACTAATGAAAGTTTTTAGAAAATTGGGCAGACTAGATGGGCCGAATGGTTCTTATCTGCCGTCACATTCTATGTAAAGTAGTATTGCATTGGTACAGGGTAAAGAGTAATGCACTCACAAAAAATAGAAGCCTAGAATGGGACCTTCAGATTTGGGTCAATAAAACCATGGTAGATGATCAATTGGGTACATGATATCCCAGATAACTGAAAATAATAAGATATAAATAGTACAGAATGCTCCATAATACAGAAAGTATAACATACATAAAATCACAGCATATGCGAATTAAATGTCAATACGAGTCCAGTGAGAAACAGCACTGACATCCAACTGTGCATTTGCAGCTGGGTGATACATCCCTTAAGGAACTGGTAGCATCTCTCAATGCTTGTTTGTACAAAACTACACTGAGTTTTCTCTGCATCTCTATACACCACTTAGTACAGAAATGTTATTGCCTTTTATCATCTATGGAGAGGGGTACATAGTCCACAAGGCTAGCATGCAAGCTTGGGGGAGGAGGGGACAATGGACCATGTTTTAAACTATGGGGAAATGTACTGCATGGCACTAGTTTGTGTTCTCGGTAAGAATTTGTTAAAGTTACAAGAAAAGCTTCAGTGCCAATTTTGATCAGTAGAAATTTTGCCAAATCTAGTGTTCCTTCTAGATCGGTTTCTTTTTCTGTTTTAAATATAATTGGTTTTTAAATTGGTTTACATAATGATTTTATACAATAATTTTAGAAATCAATTCGGATTGGAATTTAAATAGCATTTTCTCTTTGTGAAACAGATCCTGCACAGTACTGGTTTAGAGTTTCAGCATCAGGTGGAGGACGCAAAAGATCTAGATCAACTTATCAAAATTCACTACAGATACCTTTCTACCATTCATGACCGGTGTCTTTTAAGAGAGAAGGTATGCCAGTATGAATTTGTAGCAGGATTATCAACAATTCAGAATGTATTCATTAAACTGTGCACTTTGCTAAGAACCACATTTATAAATGTAATTTAAAGGGGCCTAGTTGGAAATGTATCCATTTAAATTTTTTACACTTGGGTGTTTTGGCTTAAATTGTTTCTTTGTCTGTTTCACAGTCCTAATAATCCCCTAATAATGCTTCAAGGCAGATTGTTAATTTGCACCTATTTTTAACCTATTGGTGAGTTTGCTGTATAAAGAAAATCATGGGGTTTTTTTTGTTCTATTTTCTATTCTTAATAATAATAATAATAATAATAATAATTAATAATAATAAATATAATTCCTATCTTTTTTTTTTTTTTTTGGACAAACAAGAGAAAAGTCAGGGTCTATCCAAACATCTATAAGATGCATCTTGTTTAATTATCATGTCATTATGTAATAGACCAGTAGGTGGATATAACATACATCACTTCTTATATGCCATCTTGAATGCATTAACAGTACATGTCCAGGTATTTAAGTGGTGCTGACTTTTGATTCACCTTGATTTCATTGTCTGAAAACAAGCAACCTGCTGAACTGCAGAGTAGGCATACTATGTCAACTAATATGGTTGTTTATTGACGGAGAAATTTAAACCATGTCCTTGACAAAAAAAAATATATTATATAAAATATATAGTTTGACTGGAAACTTGAATTGAAAAATGGGGGTTAACATAGCCACAAGTGCAACTTGCTTGGTTAAAATAGTGTAACATTTATGAGAGACATGGACGCATGACAAAAGGAGAGAGACAAATTTTGTTAGTGCCTTCATGAAGATGTCTAAATGTGAATAAAGGGATCACTGGGGGCAGCTAGATGAGAAGGGGATAAAGAGAACTTGAGCTAGGAAGTAGGATAAAAAAGTGAGGATAATATTTAATGTGGGAGAGAAACTGCATCGGGGTTGTGGGGGGAGGAAAAACTGTGTTAGGGAGAGATCAGTCTTCTGCTAGTGAGTAGTTATTGAAGGTTAAGGTAAGGGATTATAATAGGAATGTTTTAGAATGTATTCAGGGAAATGGTACCGTACACATTTATTTATCCTTGTTTGGTTTTCTCAAAATAATTTTTTCTTAATTTTGAGCATTTCAATGGTTTTTCAGAAAGAACAGAAATTAAAACGATGTACATACATCACTAAGGACACAGTTTGTATGTTCTCATCATGCTTATAGTAAAGGGAGAGGTTTACATGCACTACAAACAGTTAATTAGCCTTGTAATAGCTAACTAAATAATAAAGTTCTGCAAGTTGTCTTGATTGCTGTCCTTTTAGTATTTGTGATGTAATCCTTTAACGGTAACTTTTTAGGTGAGTTCAGTTAAGGAAGCCATAATGAAAGTGATGAATGTTGTACTGATGTTTGCTGAACGCTGGCATGCTGGATTAGGAGCATGGAAGTAAGTAAAACACTGAAAACTTAAATTCTATTCACTCCCAAGTTTGCATGTCTGTGCGTGTATTGTTTAATTTAGCTTGGTTTTGTGGTTATAGTTAACTAAATGGGTCCTGTGTCTATGGGGAAGGAATATGGTTCAGTAGCTGAAGGTTTACCAGAAGCAGGCTTGCTTCACAAAAACGAAAAGAGGATCCTGACTCTAAGAAAATCATATTAAAAATAAATAAAAAGGAACTGCAACTATGATTCAGTAGCCTTGTCTCCAAAAGTTGACATTGACAAATCCTTGTGTGAGAGAGCCACTTGAAGATCTTAGTTACAAAAACACTCACACACACATACACACACATACACACACACACACACACACACACACACACACACACACACACACACACACACACACACACACACACACACACACACACACACACACACACAAAAAAATGATACTAAATAGGCATTGTGACATAGTTTTACATTTTCACCATCAGCATTTTACTAATATAAGATATCTCTTGATAACTTGCTTTTCTTCGTGTTTAACCATGCTATGTGATTCTAATCTATGTATTATATGCTGTAATGCAATAAGAGTACCAGTCGGATTAAATCCTTGCTAGTACTAAGGAGCCCCAGGCATCATTAAATACCTGAGGGTACGCTTTGTCAGGTGAGGCCACAATTATTGGCCCCAGACTGCCAGCTAAGCTATATGCAGCACTCTAAGTGAGCACTACACATGCCGTTTAAATGTCAAGCTTAGCTATCACTCACAGCCGCAGTAATTCTGAGTCTCACTCATGCCAAAAAAAAGCGAGCCACAGGTGTTTTTGATACATGAGGGTCCCCACTGCCAGCCATGCCACTATTAATGGCCCCTGACTGACAAATGAGCTAAGTGCAGCCCTCTAAGTGAGTGCTGCACATGGCCATTTAAATTAATTGAAATACCACGGCTGAGCACGTACTTTGATTTTAAATTGCACCCAGCATCAGGGTCTGAAAAGAGGTCTCCTGGCTTGCCCCCTTCCAAGTGGTCTCTCTCTCATGCTGCAATCACACAGTACAGAGTGCTTACAGTGTCCTCTACTGTGTGAGCTGGAAAATCCCTCTGCTGATGTCAGTAGAGGTAATCCCTCTGGGTGGGTTTATGGGGCAGGATTGGAAGTAGCATTATGGGAGTAGTGTGGGTTTGATTAGGGGAATGATTATACATGTGGGCTATCATTGTAATAGAGAACACTACCAGAATACAAATATGTTGTGCTTACAGTAGTGGGACACATGTGATCTGTGAATTTACCCAAAATAAAATGTGTGGGGAAACAAATACACTTAACTATTTTGGCCTTGGTTTATGACTAAATGGTTAAATGAAAAGTGTCAATATGCTCTTAGTTAAATAGCCTGGGGGATGTAGCTTCTACAAATGTATACCTTTGTGGAGCAGGTTTGGATTATGTGACTACTATACAAGTTTTAATGTCATCATGCAAATTTCATAGTTTTAGCTTTAAAACGGTAATTCACTCTGTAATATTTATATTAGAAATAATTTGTAGTAGCTTGCCCTTCAAGTAGTCCCTGTTCATGTTTCAAAATTTTCTTTGCTCACTTGTTCCATTACAAAGAACCTATACCATTTGCACATCATACTGATCCCACCATTAAAGACAGACCAGAACAGAAATACCGGCAAGTTCTCTTTGCACCAGAGATACTGCAAGGATGACAATCTAGTTTGGTTCTACAAGAAAGAGAATGTGATTGGGGAACTAGCAGGTTTTACAGTTTGTGTGTTACTGAGCTGTTAAAGTAGCCATAAGGAAAAACAAAGCCTATTCATTTACTTCCTATTTGATCCCAGTACTACTACTACTACTACTAATAACTTTAGGGATTTTGTGTATGCAGTCCCTTTGCAATAATTTAGTAAAGTTCCAATCTGTAAAAAGTATCTGTGATCCAAAAGCTTTAGAAATATTCTGCATACTCTAACATATAAAGGATTACTTACTGTTAGTGAGCTTCTTAACAAAGTGTCCTTTAAAGAAACTGTTATGAAATGAGAAACGCGTGGCCAGATAAACCAAGCATAAGATAAATAAGCAGGATAATCCATGCTTACATAATGCTGCCCTTCGGGACCATTTCATGGTGACTGCAAAGTGTAACAATTGAAGTGTATGGAGTTAATACTGTAATGTTTTCTTTTTTGAGCAGGTTTATATATGTTTGTTTACTTGCAGGCTGGAATCTATTGTAAAGATGGAATCTGACTTCACAAATTGTCACAAATTTCTTGTGAAAGTATTAAACAAAGCTGTGTGCAGGGGATCTTTCCCACACTGTAAGTACATTCTGTTACCTTATTCTCTAAAAGGCAAATTTCTGTTGCTTTAACGGTTGCTGCCATGTGCAGAGTCAGCATTGCAAACATTAGGTGAAAACTTCACACAGAATAGATCCACAGAGTCCTAGAAGTAGGAAATGGCCAATCTCTCCAACCACAAGAGGTACTGAAACAACATCATTCTAGACTGAGTGGGTGTGCATTGTGTTGGCATAACAATGGGATATTCACCTGAACAGGGTTATTCACCAAAGTATAAATTCATACAACATTACTCTAGTCCTCTGTATTGTCAGTTCAGATACTTTTATATAAAATCATTGTTAATGTTTGCAGATTGAGCCCCTGGGATTAAATAACTCCCAGCCTCTCTTTAACTCTCATTTTTAGAACTATATTCTGCTACTTACAACCTTGGATTCTCCCTTTCTCAAGGTACAAGTGATATGCTGACTAAAGCTACAAATGATAGATTCCAATATATTGATCGACATTGCTTAAGTCCTGAAGAAGAAAGGAAATTAAAATTCTTTTTTTAAAACCTGTATTATTAGTCCAATAAAATAATCTAATAAAAAGGTATCGCTGCATTTCCCCTGTAACTAGGAGATGGGAGGAGTGAAGGAGAGCGAATAATAAAGGGGCAGGGTTTAGTTGGGAATAGTGAACTGATTAGCAGATTACACCACTAAGCCCACTACTCGTCAGTTCAATATTCCCACTCAAACATTTTTTATTTTTTTTTATTTTTTTTTATTCTATCGCCTTCCTTCACTTTTGTTTCCATATTTAGTCATGTGAGCCCTTTTTAAAGCTGGTTAACATTTTAGTTTTTTTAGCACCCTTCACCCGAGTCTCTCACCATCCCAATTCTCCTCCATTATAGCTATCTTTTTAACATAGACAATTACCACAAATATTTTCAGAGAATTCTCATTGTTTCACATGCCTTGTTCTGGTTGTGAAGTAGAGATCCTGAAATTAGGTTAAATACCAATAAAATGTCCAGGTCCAATAGATATAATTGTCCTCAAACTAGAGAAAGATTTGCACAGAATGCCTATTGTTTCATTATATATTACTGAGGGAACTGCAGCTCCCTTGCCCTTAAAGCAGTAGTCTAGGCACCATAAACACCTCAGTGGCTTAGATGCCAGGAATTTGTCATGACTTCACCTCACTGTTAAAAGTCCAATTGGTTTTTGGATGGTTTGACACTTGCCTTGGTGCCATTGCTCTGGCCATTCTTCACAGATAATGTGAAAGTTGAACATTTTCAGTTCTGGTTTTCTTTGGATTGAATTAATTGACTGACACTCCTGGTGTAGTGATATTTGTGAATGCGGCTCGAGAGTGTACACCCAGGGGACCCAGATAAATGTCAAACTGTTCGAAAACAGTTTGATTCTTAAAAGTGGGATGGTGCCTACTGACATCATGACCATTATAGCACGCAATAATGCTTAGGGTGGTCTTTAACATTGAACTAAACTTTCCAGATGTCACACTACATTAGAAACCTTCAACAACTTTTCTTATCATGTGGAAATGAACAACTACTTCTTTTACCCAAGTATTTCTTTTTTCTTTTTTTTATGCTTTCCCCACAGTGGAGTCACTGGCTTTATCACTAATGGCTGGCATGGAGAAGAGCTAGCAATAGCACGCTAGATGTTTCTTCCAGGATTACATCGGAAGGAAATATACACCGGATGAAATTAAGCATTTTAATTTATATTTTTTTTTTCTATTTTTTTTTTTTTTTTTAACTTGAAATATGTACTTCAGGATGTGCTATGAAATACACCGGATGAAATTAACCTTTTTTATGCACTATATTAACTTTCACTGTACCTCTGTGTGTACATATGTATTTTTTTTTCTCATTTTGTAAAGTGCTGTGTTCTAAGAAATTACTAGCAACTGCAGCAACCATATTGTTTTATGAAGATCCATGCAGATGTGCCTGTGCAGACAGCTAATTATCATGTACAGTTGCATTAAACTCAAACCATATATACTTTTAGTGTCTTTATTATATGGGGTGGTGGGGTGGTTTGAGTCATACACATGCTGCAGCATGCAGACATTCATTTGCTCTTTTTAATTCATATTGCCACAGTGGATTGATGTTTGGTTTTGGACTAGATCTAAGTGCAGAATACGTATTGCCTATGTTAAGCATTAATTTGCCAGGAGATGTGCTGATAGCAGAATCTCCTTGCATTTTTAAAATGTTAATTTATTTTAAATCATTTTCAGGAAATCAAGCATAAGCTTCTGAAAAATAACATTAGTCTTCCGCTTAGTAACTCAGAGCACAGACTCAGAATAGCAGTAAATGCTCCCTGACTCAATTAGCATGAGGGCTAAAGGAAAAAATAAACTGCCCCAAAAATGGTTTTATCGTAGACTGGCAAAATAAGCAGTGCTGTGTTGAACTCTGTACTACTAGAGTCTCCATTAACATAAATATTAGAACTGAATACTGAACAGTACAAGCTGAGTGGCAGGGTATTACCCTCTGTTTCTATAGTTATGGTTCAAGCACATACCATTTACTGTCACAGGGAGCACAAGGACCACTATTTCCTGGGCCACGAGAGTATCATTACAGTTGTTTCACTGGCACAGTAGAATGCCATTCCCTTCCTTGCATGGTATATCATTCTATGTGTATAATGAATGTACATGAGAAAAACTGGCCAGGAGTCATGAGTGGTTTGCAGTAAGGTATGTGCCTTGCTCTTTAAGATCCACAAGCTGGCGTTTAACAATCACACAATGGGACCCGTTTACCCATATGCTGGGAATCCCAGTGACTGTGAGCTGACTTGCTGTGCGAAGATCACATACTTTGCCCCATCCCCCCAGTGTGTGTGTGTGTGTGTGTGTGTATGTATGTATGTGTGTATATATATATATATATATATACATATATATATATATAATGTGTGTGTGTGTGTGTATATATATATATTTGAGAAAATTAACTGCTGGTGCTCAGAACTATGTCTATACATGTGTCAGGTGATATGTATAATACATTTATGATTAACAAGGAAGTGGAGTTCATATCTTTAAAGCCAAATCTGCTCAAACTAGAGGCTTCCTTATGCACCCCATAAACCATTATCATCTCTCTCTTAGGGGGAGAGTTTTTAGGACATCGAAAGCGGTACACCCAGGAAGTTACTGGGTCTTCAGGGTCAAAAGGCTGAACAGTGGCCAGGTCTGCAAAAATGGGGAAAAACTGAGAGAATGTGAGACAAAAGTTAAGAGGAATCCTTGCTCAGGTCTCAAAATAGTTTTTGCTTACTTGTGCCATGACAGAGAGAACCTGTTCCATTACATATCAGAGTGATCCCACACATAAGGGTAGTCCAGAACTGAAATGCCAGCAAGTTCTTGTTGTACAAAAATCGGCCTGGCAAGCATTAAATAAAATTTAGACCTGCTAAAGCAAGCTCTTTAACATGAAAAAGCAGTGTAACATGGAGTGGGTGCTACTATTTATACTAATTTCACAGTTCTATTTCCTCTTTCTGATGCAAGGGGAGGAATTAACCTATAAGTCAATGCTACGTGACTTAATCAGGAAGATATTATTTGAAACCGGACAAATTATGTCATGGTCCAGAGAGTTTTATGGATCCCTGAGAGAAAAAAAAATCATCTCCATTTCTGAGAAATCAGCATCTCCTCATAAAGATGCATTGAATCAATGCATCTCTTTGAGGAAAGTTCAGTATCTTCAGAGGGTGGAGACATTGAATGTCTGTGCACCACTGCCCTAGGAAGCACCTTTAGTAGCCATCTGAGGAGTGGCCACTGGGAGTTTCGTAGGCTTTAATGTAATCTGGCTTTAATTTTCATAGGCTTTAATTTTCTCTGAAAATACAGTGTTTATTACAAAAAGCCTGCATGGATGGTCTATACTCCCCAGAAGAACTACAATGAGTTATAGTTCTGGTTACTATAGTGTCCTTTTGATATGAAATTATCCCACAAAAGGAGGAAGGAGTGAGAAAAGAAATAGAGTGGTGGGAATAGGGAAACAGTGAGGGATACAATCAGTGTGGGAGCGATGGGCAGACTAGAGTTTCCTGGGAGATGCTGTTATGTTTGTTGCAGCATGCAATGCGTGCTGATGACAGACATAAATTATGCACAGAATTGACTTGAGCCAGGGCCGGTGCAAGGATTTTTGCCGCCCTAGGCAAATAAAAATTTGCCGCCTCCCCCCCCCCATGTCCTGCCCACCATGTAATATCACAATGCCCCGCCCATATGGGCCAACGCCAGTCTTCACAAAGTGTCTTTTATCTGAAAAGACAGTGTGTTTACATTAAAAAGCCTACAGGCACAGGCTATAGACACCAGAACCACTACATTATGCAGTAGTGCTTCTGGTGACTATAGTATCCATTTAATGTGAGATTAGTGCCACTAATAATATATTGGATTGCCTACTTACCACCAGATGAGGACAAGAGGCTGATGATGGGCTCTGTCTGGCTCCACAGGTCTGGTGTAGAAGAGGCTCTCTGGAGACTGTTTTTAACAGTGCTCACAACAATTAACGAACAGGAAGCAGCTCCATTTTTTAGGGCCCCTTACACAGCTCAAGGTCTGGGCCCCCAGGGCTTGACCATGAGTATGCCTACAATGCCCACCCATAAATACCTACATGGCCCACCCATGAGTTCTCTCACAGGAAGTGTAGTGTATGTGTGTAGGGGATGTTTTATGTGTTATTGTAGAGGATGCAATGTGTGTGTGTTCTTATAGAATGTAGTGTATAGGGATACCAATTTGTATAAGGGATGTAGTGTGTTTATAGGGGATGCAGTGTGTGTTTACGCGTAAGGAATGCATTGTATGTTTCTGTGTGTGTAAGGGGTGCAAGGTGTGTTTCTGTGTATGTAATTGAATGCAGTGTGTGTCTGTAAGGGGTGCATTGATTGTGTAAGAGATGCATTTTGTTTCTGTGTGTAAGAGAATGTGTGTAAGAGAATGAGTGTTTGTGTGAACGTAAGGGATGCATTGTGTGTTTCGGGTGTGTCTGTGTGTGAGTAGGAATGCATTGTATGTTTCTGTGTGTGTAGGGGGGGGATGCATTGTGTTTGTGTGTAGTGTAAAAGAGAGGGTTTGTGGGGTAGGATAGGGACTGAGAGGGGAACAGCTCTTTATTTTTTTTAAACATTTTCATAGTGCTCTCCCCTCCTGTCAATTATTGATTTCCCCTTCCCTCCTGTCCCTCCATGTTCTACCCCTTCTGTCGCTTAGTGCTCTCCCTTGGCCCCCTGTCCCTCTGCAGTCCCCCCTTGGTGGTCTTCTCACTCCCCCTCTCTCCCTTAG